TGTCATTTGACTGGAAAAGTATGCGGAACAGTTGTTTCCAACTTTCTAGTCGAGTAAATCGTTACAGTAATGACCAATCAGAAAGCTAATTTGCACGATCGATCAACACTAATTTGTCCACTTCATTTCTGAAAATCATACGATCTTTTTTTTGTTTATAAACATTCTTCTCCTGTATTCTTTAGCGACAAAGAAATGTTCGGACAAAGAGCGGAAATAAATAAAACAGAAGGATGGATAGTTCATACTCCACTTTCCCACATAAATTGCTAAACCTGGTACATTTCAGTGATCGTTTTCATCGTTCGGTAAACTTTCACGTTTCACTACGCTGCTTTACAAAATTAGTCTAGAATTTCATAAATGACAAACAGGTAACAGTAACAGAAACAATTGTGTTTCTTATCGATCAGAACGCAAGTAGACTATGATCGAAAGTGTTCTAACGCAAACGGCTTGTAATTATAAAATAAATAAATAATCTCTTATCGATCACGATTTCGGTAACAGACACGAGATACGTCTGTTTATCTCTTTCATTCACCTTCGTTTAATCAGTTTACACAGTGTCGAAAATGTTAAAAATGTGCAAGAATGTTGGTGTAACGGATTGCTCGGTTCATTGAGCCCGTACTGAATGCTTAAAATCAAGGACGGAATAATAAATTGTGAAGCATCCGTACGGGTGAAACAGTTTCCTCGGGGAAACGGGTAAAACGTTAGAATACACGAAAAATTCTCACACATCTTATCTTACCGTCGATTTATCATGCTAATAAATTATCTAAATCGTGGTATAAGCAAGTTTCTAATGTACTAATTTCATTACTTTTCGTGGAAATTTAAAATCGTTAGACACGATAGAAACGCGTTGAACAACCTCGTTCGAGGTTCATTTTTCTATTTTCACATCGGAGGAATCACGGAACACTTGGCATTTCACGAGATAGTTAAAGTGTAACTGATAGGATAGGAAAATTATCACTGATCTAGAAACTTTATGCCTTCTTGATATCTGACGTTTATGAGCTAAAGATTTTTCCTCTTATTTCCTGAGTAAGAGAAAAACGATCCCTGGGAGCCAAATGGTGTTTTTTTTTTTTTCCAATTCCCAAGCCCACCCACCAATCAACCAGATAATTGAATTAATTATTATTGAACCATCGTACACCGATGCATTGAACGACCTATGGGTCGTTATGCATTTTACCTGTACTTTTATTCGAAGATAATCACGACAGGAATAAGGTGAACGGGAACACGCGTTGCTCGTACGTACACGCGGCGGGTATCGCGGCACGCGATTTGCGCAAACGTCTTGATCGCTCGTCTACCAGGCTGGTATGAAACGAAGGTGTGCATACGCAACCACGCGAGTGCAACGCGCACACGCGTGCATCACGGTCACATGTGGGTGTCCGTGTCACGCGGTCGAGTTGCGCGCCGTTCCACACCACTTGCCACCACGTGTGCGCGGATACTACGCGATCGAGGAACTTCTCATCGATTCGGGCAACAGCGAATTTCATTCATCATTTCGATCACTCGAATTCATCTTCGTTTTACATATGTAAGATATCGGGAATATCTATAAAAATTCCAGTTCAACCCTCGAACGGCGGACCATGGAGAGAGTCTCAATTTTCATTTAATTTTATGTTCCATATTGAAATTTATCAAATTTCACGCTGTTCCTTTAAAAATTATTTTGGGTGACGATTGACTATACGAATCAATTACTGAAAATATGAACGAACGTTTCATATGAAAAGCGTTTAATTTACTGGAGAAAATATAATCGAATTTCTCAACTTTCTTTTCGATTATTATTTACAACGATATCTACATCGGTGTAATTTTTTAAAACGAAACTGAAAAGATACAAACCACGATGATAAAGAGAGATTCATTTCATTTTACTGCAATAATGAATCACCGTTTGCGATCGTTTCTAAATTGCCGCCCAAGAAAGCGAATCTTTCAAAACGCTCGGCATAGAAAAGGAAAGAGGAGCGGGAGGAGAAATACGGGCACCGTGTCCCTGAACTCGATACTTTCGCCGCCATTGTGCGCTCATTGCAAAAAGGATTTTTGCAACCGTGCTGTAAGCAACGGGTGCACGACTATCCTTTACAAGCCAGCCAATAAATTAATGTTACCAGGGGAGCAGCAAACAAGGAGTGTCGCGGCACTTTTGCAAAAAACCTATTATTAACATACTGCCCTGTTCTGTATGCAACAATGTCTCAACATTACTTGCAGTTTAACAATGATTTTGCAACGTACCGGTCCCGCCCGCCACCGACCCTTTGAAAATGTTCCAAACACGCACGCGAAACCTTCCCCGCGAATTCCGGTTTCCATGTAACGAGAAAATTGTTTCTCATCGAGCCACTGTCTCTTCTTCCGTTTTCGAACCAGACGAGAAAGTTCTTCTCCTTTTATGCTGCCTTGATCTTACAGCTTCGTAAGCTTGTCTTTTTCTTCTTATTCTTTCATGTGGTATCTTATGAACCCGGTTACACGACGCACCTGGTGCGTCGTGGTCTTATTCAACGGATAACGCTAGCACGCACCGGGTGCATCGTCGGTTTGATCGACGCGACGCGTGCCGACGATGGACGCCGAACGGAATTCCACTTTCGACACAGGGCATATTTCTTGGCTTTTGTCCGGGCTAGGAAGCATGCATGGCTATCGGTGCGCTCATAAATAAGGCATAACCGTGAACGTGGCGTAGGCGAGTCGAGCTCGTTGGTGTGCGTTCACGAACAAGAAGACGTGTGCCCTCTTCTCTGCTTCTTGTGTACACGGCCAGGGGTAAAAAGAGCCCAGTGACAAGCGGAAAAAAAAAGCCACCGCGAAGTAGCCACTTAGAGAGGACGCTTTTAGCTCGCTCTACCTCTAGGAGAGCGTTATTTCCCCTGAATTTATCTGATTAATGTTTCAGAGGAGACCGAGGGTTGCCTTGCTTGGATGGTACTTCTTTATTGAACAGATTAAGCAGGTAGGTGGATGCGTTTTTCTACTCCTTTTTACAAGAGTTTCACACTCTCGCCGTGTCTTCATTCATATCTGCGTGGAACGTTTTACACCCACTTAAGGGGTGAAAGGAAAACCGGGGAGAGAAAAGTTCTAAACGTTATCGGCGAGTCATTTAAATGCACCGGTAATTATTTTTCTTTTTCTATGTAATAAGCTTTGAATTAGAAAAGATCATTTGCAAGCCAATGGCTGGCGAGACGAATTAGCGAAAGCTACTCTTTCCTATTAGCGAATTTTAGTCAATAGACGAAACCGAATGATCTCGTTCTCTCGTCCCGGTACACAATATCCACGAATTTGCATAACACGTCCTCGTTACCGAGAAATACGAGTGCACGCAGAAAAGAAACGGTAAAGGAGTACCATGGCAAGAATAAAAGAAGAAACGCTGTCAGTTACGTGGGAAACAGAAATTTTTCGAAAATCCGGCTAACGGTCAGTTCTCACGCATTATGTACCTCTTCTTTACAAAATGTGTTGCTTCCACAAAGATGGAAAAGTAAAAGACTCAAGGGGTGACCATAGACTTGTAGATGGGTCGTCTCACCCCAAGGAAAGTGATGCTAATGAGGGTATTAATCGACGTAATAGACAATAAACAAAAAGAAGTGAAAAGACTTTGAAATCTTTGAAACACCTCCACTTCCGGTGCCGACATCTGCATCGACGCCATTTAATTTTCCTACAGTGGTTCGTATGTAAACTTTAGATTCTTTTGGAGAACAACAAGTCCAGTTTCTGTTAATGGGAACATTCGCGGGCGGCAATTAAGCAATACTCGGTTCGTCGGTTACTTTTAATTGTTCTTAACGAGGCTAAACGCGGACGTGGTCCACGTCACGGCGCATAACAATGAATAACGGTTGCGGTGAACGAGTCCGTTTACTTTTGTTCCCTATTGTCACCGACGACGACAATAAGCCGACCACGCAAGGGCTCGAAACGCGTATCATTGACGTGCGAAACTCTTGTTTGCAAATAACTACACATAAATTCAGTGAAGTTTATTTCTCATTGAAAAATTACGCCTACGCGATAGCGTCAGTCGTTGGCAAAGAAATCTAAAGTATGCTTGCAAATAATCGATAGTCGATAGGGGTTACGATCGATCGAAGATTCTACAAAATGGCGAACGCGTGTTAAACACCTGTTCAGATTTTTGTAGCTACTGATTACTTACTATTACTGCTAAGATGCTAATTACTTATTAGGAAAATTTAACGCCAATATAGATTGTTATACATTCAAACTTATAATATAGGAGTATAAAGGTTATACTAAAGTATATACGCTGAATAAAAAAGCGCGGGCTCCTGTCAACGAACAGCAGCATGAAGTTGGCCGCAAGCCGCACATTCAACAGGCTCTTGACAAATTTTGTCAAGATATTTAAAGAAAATACAATTTACTCACCGTCAACTCGGCATGTCGTCCGGCGTCATTGGAGTGTCGCCGATGGAAACCCGTCACGCTCGAAAATATCGTCGACACAATCATGCGGGTACGGTGTTTCACTGGTCACGTTTGTATCGAATGTCAGAACGTCGAGAAACCATAAACATCGTGTCAGGCCAGAGAAAAAAGTGTTCTATATGACCCTTGTTACAGGACAACGCATCTACTTTACTTCTTTATACAAACTCGACTTATTTGTTATTCGCGTTAAAATAATTTATACAATTAATCAATTTACTCATTAATATAACGTACACCTTCACTCAACCGACACGCGATACACACCTAACCAATGGTCGAATCGTACTGAGCCGGTGGCACTCGCGAATCTCTCACTAGACTACCCCCACTCCCCACCCCCTGCGTACTGCGCAGGTCAAATCAAATATACAACCCTTAGATCTTTTCAAACAATCCAATATTTTAATTGCATATTTAAAATCAGAATGATTTTGTTGCTAATGTATTTTATTTATTCTAAGTAAACTGTAGATGTTAATCGCCTCTTCCTAGGCGATTTCAAATATTATCTCAATTCGCGCCTTTTAGAAAAGTGCGTAGTATGTCGATTGATTTTACTATTTGAACAAATTTATTTTCTTTTTGTATAATGATAATGTTTATTAAAAGTGCAGTGAAGTTACTTATGAACGCATAGAAATGATTTTCAGTGATAGCTTATTTCGATTGGATTCGTTATGCACATCTGAATTTCTAGTGTAGGCATAAGATACTCGTATACTGTAGGCCTGCTGTAGATTATAAACAGCAGTTAGCGGCTGTACGTGTACTTACATGTATCTAATGTTTGTTGACGTCTTGCCTCCCGTGTCCTCGCGCAAGGTTTTTCGTACAAATGTACGGACACGGCAAGCAGCTAGTTCCCTGACTACAGCGGTGTCGAATACATCAAATAATTTTCTTCCCGGTCTACACAGCCTCCTACACTAGCATTAGAGGTTAAGTAACAATTTGAAGTTAAACAACAACAGTATTTATTCTCTAATTCTTAATCAAGACATGAAATTCCGACATAAAAGAATCTCAGACAATTAACATAAACATTTTTAACCAGATGAACCGGCACGTCGAATGGAATCGCGAGCAGCGTTTGAAAGACAACAAAAAAGACGGGAGAGATAAGGAAAGTGCAGCTTAACACACCATGAAGAATAGCATGCGAATAGAATATGCCGTGAAGGACTGAAACGCGATAAAACACAAAAAGGACGATAATCTCAAGACGTATAAAGCATATAAGTATGTATCAGCTAGCAATTTACTGGCTATTGAATTTGTTTAACGCGTAAACTGAATGCTTTCGTCGTGGTCCACGTTGAAGATATTTTCTACGTGTTTATCTGATGCGTGCCCTGCATACAGGGTGTCTCCAATTAACGAATGAACTCGATACGATTCAACCATACATTTATATAAAACATCTGTCATTTTAACTAATGTTTAAATACGTACTTTAAACTGGCGGACCATGGAGAGATTATTCAATAATATGGCCCAATATGGCGTCACAGTAACGTAGCAAATCCGCTAAAAATGTCAAACTTTACACGCTTATAACTTTTTAACCATTGGATTCCTAAAGTTAAGACTTGCCTAAAGTAAAGTTTAACCAAAGTTTAAGTGGTCCGAACCAAAGGCGTCCGGAAGACGAGATCCTCTTAGCCAGAGGTATCTTGGATACACCCTGTATATTCCTCAGGGAATCAGGCGCGAACTACTTTTCTTCGGTGCCTATGATCTTACACTCTAATGATATACTTGGCGCATACTATCGCGCGTATTATTCCCGAGGGTGTATACAGATTATGATACCTGTACGATTATAAAACCTCCGAGACAGGCAGTTATGAGTCACGCTCACGGTGCAGAAGGAAGCCTCCGGTGGATAGTATAAATGTTAATATCGCTCGTTCATTATAATCCCTAGAATGCTACGCATCGCGCCAAGGGCGAACGGTACGTAATATTTATGTCGTTACAACGCCCGTTGTCCCCTGTCGTTCGTTTTTTCTTGATTTCATTCAACGAAACACCAGGAGCATGCGTTAAAAACAGTTAGCCTCGTACCTCCATTACATAATCGCGTATTTTCCAGAAGGTCAAGTAACTTTTTTTCCATTAATCATCGGATGATTGCACCCTTTGAAGAGCAACAGCCCGTAAACCCATCCACGGCAAACAATGACGTTGGAAAAAGAAATACACGGTAACCGGTGTTCACCGATCGCTAAAGGAAAATTTCTATTCGCGTACTGTGATTTTTCTTTCTCATTCGTTATTTAAAATTATTGTTCTCGGACGTTTATTTGTAAACTTATACCGCAGGAGGGTAAAAAACTACTTTCTCGTCGTACCGATGTTGCTATCAGTTTTAAACGCGTTTCGCATCGTCGATCAATTTTTCAGCAACTGAAACAGCTTAATTCAATCTCACAAGGAGATGCTACGAAGTGCTAACTCGACTTTCGAATGAGCTCTAGTGCATTCGAAAGGGGAGGTCAATAGTACAAATCGTGTTAAGGGTTTTGGGTGTATGGGCCTTACTTTTTGAGAAAATTACATAAATATTTATGCATTTTTTCAGCTGTACTATAAATACAATGAATAGTTGAATATCAGTATGAAGCAAATTAGCCGAGCAGGTTAAGTGCCCGTGCAGCTATTATTTTGTAATCCATGCAAGCTCGGTTCACGACAGCATTCTAATAATTTTTTTTTTTTTTTTCTTTTAAGATTATTCTATTTATGAATTGATTTTTTTCATTCTTTGCAGCAATAAAAAACGATTTATTACTTGGTATTATATCTGTATGTAGTTTTATGACAGAATTTTATAACACATAACATAATAACTACATACAGATATAATACCAAGTAATAAATCGTTTTTTATTGCTGCAAAGAATGAAAAAAATCAATTCATAAATAGAATAATCTTAAAAGAAAAAAAAAAAATTATCAGAATGCTGTCTTGAACCGAGCTTGCATGGATTACAAAACAATAGCTGCACGGGCACTTAACCTGCTCGGCTAATTTGCTTCATACTGATATTCAACTATTCATTGTATTTATAGTACAGCTGAAAAAATGCATAAATATTTATGCAATTTTCTCAAAAAGTAAGGCCCATACACCCAAAACCCTTAACACGATTTGTACTATTGACCTCCCCTTTCGAATGCACTAGAGCTCATTCGAAAGTCGAGTTAGCACCTCGTAGCATCTCCTTGTCAGTGGGACAATATACCAGCTGGAAATGTCGACATTCTTCGGCTGCGATCTCTTTCTTCGCTGTACGATCCTCCTCAGTGTCGTGGCTCTCCCACATTCGGCTCCAACCTGACCGCATTCCACGAAGAATCTGTGTCTCCGCCTATCAGAATGCATTCGCATAGTTTTCGATGCGCGAAACTGCTGCATCAATGACGCATACTTCGTTCATGGGAAGCTCGATTCGCTTCTCGAGCAAATATGCGTGTTCAATGGGGAGAAATTAGACGAGGATAGCACGTGCGATACTGAGATTGCATTTATGTTATTCGAGGATATGAAAATTACCATCGGATCGCAACGGTAACGCTATTATTATACCGTCGACGCTAATTTTTCCATTCTCGTAGAAATTATTCCTATTTACCTTTTCTAGGTTGACTTGTTCGTTTATTAGAAAAATAATCCAACTTCGTTCTGAGAAGGTTTATTAAAGACGCCGGAGAAGTTGTTGGAAATCTCACGAGGAATCTGCGGAGCATATCGTGCCAGCATCGTGTAAGGAAAAACAAAAGCAAAGTTAAATAACTCATGAAAGCAATTCCGGATGGTAGAAATATAAAATATCTTATTTCTGTTTCACAGTAAAAAGTGTCCAACGGTTCGACCGAGGAACTCCATCACCGGGTTTTCTTTTCAAAAAGGGATAATATCGTAATTAAAATGAGTAATACGTTCGCGACACCGTAGTACTGTTTCTTTTTTGCCGTCTGTAAGATTATGGGAGGGCTGGAGGCAAGGGACTCTACGTCACTTCCTGAGGAACACGGGTTACGAGAAATTGCGGTTTACGAAGAACTCGATAAAGCCGCAAACCGCACGATTGTCCTTGATAACCAGGTAATGTATTTCAGTGAAATACTTTCCATTTGTCATCTCGGTTGAAAGGGATAACAGCGTTATTTCCGTGGGAAATCTATTCCGCGAATGAATATAAACGACATTCGCAGAACAGACAAAAGCAATAATGTTTTAACGTCTGTCGTAAACAAGTTATCTCGCTGTCATTCACAAATATAGGAAGAAAGCGTAACACGTTCGCTGTGAATGATGAATATTAATTAATACGAATTATCGACAGGGAACGATAAGATAAGCTTTATTAATTCCAACGTCGCGCACCGAACGTACAAATTCACCGGAGACAAAGGAGAGAAACTTCCACGTAAACCTTCTCGTTTACTCATCAATTATCGAAACGCGACTTTGATGGCATTTCAATCGGTCTGGCGCCTCTGATACGCGATGCAACGAAGGTGCCATCGCGTTAAGAAGGGTTCGCACGCGCCCTTTTGTGTCGACGATGCGTACAAGCGCGTCGTTTGCATAAAACGCGTCGATGAGTCAGTGTCTCCTCGCGTCGTATAGCATAACGCAACCCGTTCCGAGCGCACCTGCCTTACATCCTTTCTTCCGAGCCGTGGATCTTCTAACGCGTATGCACCCGCTGGTCAACGGCATTAGACCAGTCGATATTCCCGGCTCGTGCGAGCGGAACAATGAAAACCCAAGCGAATACAATGCGAGTCACGCCGATCATGCGGATACGATGGACGCGAGGCATGCATGTGTCTCGGGGACAAAGACGAAAAGCCGGAAACATGGAAGATGATAATAACAGAAGGGAAAAGAACGAATAAGAAGGAGGAGGAATAAACGACGACGAAGCAAAGGGCAGTGCAACGTGCGCTCATGATTTACGCGCATCGACGATCGAGGCTGCGCATAATTTATCGATTGATCGAGAACGCATGCGTACTCGCGAAGAGGATACAGACTCTGCGCAATCGATCACTGTCCACCACGACCGATGACGTTAATGAGGACGATCGGTACTTAGCGATACTTTAGCCTGCTAGCCATTGCGAACGATTACGTGCCTCGTTTGTTTGTGCAACGGAGAGAGATCATTTGGTCCGTCGCGTCGGCATGAATAAAGATGTTGCGTTTCTTAGCGAGGGTCGAGGGACAATTTCGGGATACTAGAACCGACGTCCTCTTCCTTTTCTTTTTTTATTAGCAATTTTAATTTGCATTCGGCCTTCGAGTAGTTAATCAGCAAATTCAATGCATGTAGGATGACTTGGCTGGTCGGTAGCCATATTATTCTGCTTATTAGTCAACCCGTATCTAAGATTGAAAATCTTGAAAAAAGGGCTATAGCATTTAGACTTTCCGTCATACTTGTACAGGACAAGATTTATCGAAAAAATTCTTGCGAATCTCAACTTTCGGTCTGACCGGAAATGGCCGAAAAATGGTTGGCTCTAGATCGATTTCGGTCTAGTTCACTTTAGCTTGTTAGGAAGTTTAGTCATTAGATAAAAATTTTTATAGTGTTCACTTAATTAAAACGAATCATGAAAAATGTAATCGCATCGACCCTCTCCGTGTAAACGTCAGCAAATAAATCGACGAGCAACTCTTCGCGTAATAAATCGGCCGCGATCTTCGTTATTTGTTTAACCGTTGGAAATGAGACGTAGGAAGGAGGCGTCGAAAAAACACGAAGAGGGATCCACGATCGATCAATGTCATTCCGCATGATCACACGGATGAGCATGATTGGCAGTGTACATACACTGGTTCAACGCGGTAGCCGTTTCAAGGGTCCACCAGGGAGAAATAATCTGTTTACCGGAAAGAATTATGACCAGGCGTGAGCTTTAGCACGGAAGTGGTCATTGAACGACGAACCCCTCGTTTTAATGGCATTACAGAGAGAATGGAAGAAGTAATTGAACACCGGTGTCGGAGATTCTTCTACAATAATTTACGCTGCTATGCATAAATCTAACCAGTCGCAGACTCCGTTTATTAAATTTCTAAAAAAAATATTTGCTATATCGCTGGAAATAGTAACAGAGGGAAGAGGATCGTTTGAAATTTGCATCGTTTAGTCAAATGAATCTCTAACAATGAGACGGAATTTGTACCCGTGCATATCTTTGCCTATGGTTAAAGCTACACCCACGGTTAGCTACGAGCTGAGCGATAATAAAGCTTCCGGTCTGCTCGCGCCAGCCGCTGCGACAGAAAACAAAACGCCGGAGGAAGAAGAGAAAATTATTATTCCTTCGCCGCGCGACGCGTGTACAGAGCTAGGTACACGAACCGGATGCAACGCGTTTGATTTACCTCGTGTATGTACACCTGGCCACCAACCCCCAGATGCACCCTTAATTACCGTTTGATTGATTGCATAATTGCCAGTCAGCAGGAAATCACGCGAATACGCTTGCTCGTTTAATTAGGTCAGATTCTCGTTAAACGCGGATAACAGAAATATGAAGCTTTTTTTAATAATTTCACGTTTACTTGGAAAATTTTTGACGAAACATAATAAACAGTGGAAACGAAATCGTTAGCGCGAATTTAAAAGATTTCAAAACTTTGTCGTAGATAAAATCTAGATCTAGTTTATCCCATTAATTATTTATATTTCCAAAAATAATTTTTTAAAACATATAAATTCAATTTAATTAATAAAAAACTTGATATCATTAAAATTGAATAACATTTAATCTCTAAATATATATTAATAATTTTAATGTCATAAAAAAATATATTTAACTCTTTTAATTTCGAGATTTCGACAAGTAAAGCTCTGGAAAAAAAGAAAAGGATAGAAAAGCATTGATCAACTCACCCCCTCATTTTCAGTGAAACCCGGGGGCTTGACGTCAGCGTCCACGTAAAAGATGGAATTCATTTCCCGGTGAAACCGCATGTTTTTCTTGGATGAATCAATAACCCGTTGCCTCGATATAAAGAACAATCAAGCTCCTTTTCCTCATTTCTCATTTATAAATATCGTCGTTTCAGGAACGTCATCTTTAGCCTTGCACAAACACTGTATCTTCAAAGTCACACAAAATTGATCTCTGGTACACTTTCCCGATTAAAAGAATTTTCAACAAATTATTTACAAATGTCCATACGGTTAAACATATTTGATATGTTGATTGTACAATTGCGCGTTAAATTCATTAACGTGCACATAAAGAGAGCGATTCGAAATGGCATGATTTAACAGTGAAAATTGTTCGCGAGTGAAAACATACGTATTCTGAATCAGACATTTGTTACTTCTTTTCGCGGCGGTAGCCCCGTGAAAACTGGAAAGCGAAACGTTAATCGCACACCTCTCTCGTTTCCATACGCAACACACGCGTACGTGTACCCCTACCCTCACAGAAATTTACTCCTCTCCTCTTGAACACGATGGCCCTCCTGGCAGTCAATTAGCGGCTCCCTTAATTCGTTATCCCCCTTAAGCCGCGGTGAAATCATACCGCCCCGAGCTTAACTGCAATTACACGTTGCCTCAAAGTGCAGTGGCAATTAACAAATTCAAAACCTAGCACGCACAGTATTAAACTATGTACAAGTCTGTCCAGGAACCAATACAATTGGTTTAATTCTACTAATATATAGAAATTATTGGTGTAACTGGGTAGGGGTCAGGGTGGATCTGGTCCCCCAAAAATGGGGAGTGTTCCCCTGCCAGAATATATTAGAATATCCGTTGGCTGATAAAATCTTGACTCAATACAAATGAAACATTTGTCACCAAACACCAGTCTTTCATTTGAAATTTGGAGCGTTTAATTTTACTCACATCGGACAACTGTTTTTTATCTGAGGGACAGAAAATGAACCGTGTTGATTCTGGTCTTAAATGGGTTTAAAGTTTAGACCGAAAGCAGTAACAGTGAATCATAAGGAAATCCCCTTGGTTCTTGCTAGAATTTTTCAACCGAGGAAGAGTGGTAATCAGAACACTGCACTTGTAGCAGTAAAACGAGGCCATTTCTGCAAACACATAAACATTTGTTACATTTCAATAAAAAATTTGAGTACTGCATAGGAAATTTGAATGACACCATACATTATGAAAAAAGTGTTATCATTTGTTTTTAAAGAGAAAATTCCAAAGCAAATTTCATAGATGACATTTGTAGAAATGTAGGAGAAAATCATTCGGCATAATCATGCGAATAAATTAAAGTTAGAAGATAACAAAATCATACCTCTAGATGGCTATTAAAAATTCCAGTTAATTAGTAAAAATTTACGGGTTATCGAATATATTTCGACAATGTCTTCTGGAACGGAATTATTATCCACGGCAGAACCGCATCTTACTCCAGGGTAAACGATTCATCACTTTTTCCGTGATACATATATCACTTCTAGAGAGACACACAAATGTTCTATGGAAAGATAACTTTCATACGTACTATTATCTTACCCTTTTACGAATATCGTTGATAAAAAGGAGAGAGAGAAAAACAGATCGTTTATTTTAGATACGCCGGATATTGTCCTCAATATCGGTACAGATGTGGCGAAACATATGGAAGTATCACGCACAAGTTGCTTCTTGATCCTACAGTAAATCATGCGGAAACGCTCATTTTATCAAACCGAGTCACCGACGACTACGAAGTACATTAGTCAATATTTTTTCCTTCCGAGTATAATCTTATTTTCTAACAGGAATAAAACTTCAATTACCTATCAATCACCAGGTTCAAAGGCCACCAAAAAATGACATAGACATAGTAAATGCTCGATACAAAAGGACTGATCCTATATACGTTCATCCTATGTTACCTGGATATGAAGGTACATCAGATAAATAAATAAAAATTCTAATTAGAATCTAAGTTATACATTATAGGTTTTACACCTAAACTGAATGCTAGACACGGACAAAGATATACGGTACTTGCTACCGAGGGACTTGCTGAATTTGAACGACAACAATTAAAGAACAAAGCTGCTCTTAATGAAGTGAAAAGAAAAATAGACATACAAGGTGGATATGGTGAACCACGAAATTTAGAGGATCGTTTAGTAAGAAATTCCAATATAAACTCCTTACATTAAGAGAAAAAAGAAATGGGATTAACGAATGTATATCGTGAACTCTTAATGCAGCTTATCAAAAGTGAATTCAAATTGCCAATGCTGTCGGTTCGACCAGATTGCGTGGGCGTAATGAGAAATTTATTTCTGGACGAGCAACACGAAAAACCCAGGGATCATGCCCCCTCTCCATACTTTATGGACAATGCAAATCCGAAGAAGTATTTTATCAGCAGTAAGCCTATCTTGTCGAGTCACTGTTACTTTGAATTTGTCTTCAAATAATCTCGTAACTAATGTCACAGTACGATTCATCTGTTTTACGAAATATTGCGTCTTCGAAAACTTTCATCGAAACGACTGAAACGAATCTAATATGCATATTAAACTATATGCTAGATGATATATGAAAATATATTGATGGAAAAATTGAAATACAGATGGATCTTACAGACAGTGAACAACGAATGAGATATTCGTTCATTCGAGAGAAAATTAAAAGTACGAAATTGCAAATATCTATTAACTTCCATTGATAGAAAATTTTTAAACTTATTTAAGGATATGCTGGTCATATACCCTATGGACATTCCCATTTTGGAGCTTCGAATATTCCTGCTACCAACAGCGCGCTTTGCGAGTTCACTTCAAATTATCGAAAACGACAAAGCACAGAATGGGCCCCGATAACAATTTCTCGACCTGATCCACCGCTCATGATTCAACCAACAACGCTCTACCATAAACACGTTGGTATGATTCCAAATTACCTTGGACACGTTCCTGGAGAGACGTTCAGGTAGTAAATTATATTCAACTTACTCGACACGTTTTGAAAGAGTATCGTTTTATTTGAGAATTTGTTGTGTTCAGGTTCGGTAAAACCTTCGGAGCAGACACTAAGGACGCAAAACGATGGCTTCGTGGTGAATTTTCTCCGTAAAATGTGTATGTGTCGTTGTACAATAATCCTATATGTTAAAAAGTATAATTGCATGATAAAAATTGTGATGTCCCTGTACAGATAATAAATAATACGAATGCAGATGGTTACCATGCTTAAAATCTAAATAATATTCCAAAAATATATGGCACTATATTTAAATATATTAATGAGCTGTAGTTTCTTTTGTATTAATCACTATTGCTGAGATTTCCATTTCATTAAGATGTCAGCTGCCTGTTTTAGATTTTCATCTTTCTGCAAAAAAAGGACATTGAACGTTAGTTAAAAAAAAAGAGGCAGTATCAATATTACGCGTTTTAAATCAACTTTTACCTTTATGAAACAATATCGTACGTTGTCCTCCCCCAAGTGTTTATGTTCACGACTGTAAAATGCGGACGGTGGTATTCCTTGAACTCCGACATTTTTCGTCATCCACTTTGTAAACCGATAATCTTTATTCTCATCTGTTTCTTCTTCTAATTTAACCTTATCTTTCAGAGCCGTCCAATTGGCAACCATAAAATATCCACCTTCTGGAATTGTTGGAGACATTCCTACATCGCTAAGGAACGACGCCATGTAATCCCGCTTTGGCTGCAATTCCTTAGCTAAGCTAACAAAGTAGCAATCCGGTTGACCAAATCTTTCCAATTCTTGTTCAAATCCAATTGCTACTGCTTCCTAGAATTTGAAAATAATGTAAATAAGTAAATGTAACTAACAATATAATTAACCGTATCAAAATCTATATTATAAATCTATATATTACTTGGACTGGTGTATTACAAGTATACACACAATTTTGATGAACAACTCGTAAATTATATAGTAAATGTGCTGGACCATAGGCCCATCCTAATTTCCATCCAGTAACACTGAATGTTTTACCAGCAGATCCTATGGTTATTGTGCGCTCATACATATCGGGTAGCGTAGCTAAGATATAATAATTATTTTAAAACAAAGATTTTGTAGAAGAAACTTTAACACCGTTGGAACTCCATTCTTACCGATTCTAATATGTTTATATGGTTCGTAAACGAGCCATTCGTACACCTCATCTGATACCACCAGGGTATTCCATTTTTTAGCTAAATTAGCGATGAATTGTAATTCATCTAGAGTAAATACTTTTCCTACAGGATTATGTGGGGTATTGATTATTATTCCTTTAGTTTTTTCATTAAAAAGGCTCTCCAACTCCTGTTTGTCAAAGACCCAATCTGATGAACTAAGAGGTCCATTCGAACTTTTCTTAAAAATAGAAAAATAAATATGTTACATAAATGTTGCAGAAAAAAATTGCAAAGTTATGCTTAAAACTTACTGGTTTTAAAGCAATGAATCTTGGAACTCCACCTGCAGTTTGAACCATAGGTACATAACAATCAAAGAAAGGTTCAATAATTATCCATTCATCACCAGGGTTTGTGTGACCTTGTAATGTAGCATATAATGCTTGATAAGCCCCAACAGTTACAAGAATTTCATTTTGTGGATCTAAAGTACGATTTAGAAGTTTAGAGTACAATTTTGCAATGACATTTACCAAACGCGGATGACCCTGAAATATTGCAACATATTGGAAATTTCCATAATGATAATCATACAGATAGATAAAATAAGATGAATACTTACAAATCCTCTTGTATATTGATTTAAAAGAGGATTATCACTTATAGCTGTAGCAGCTAAAGCTTTTGTTACATTTTCAGGAGCATGAAAATCTGGGAAACCTTGTCCCAAGTTTAATGGCTTATGCTTTAAAGCAAGCTGAATATACTCAACCCTGAAATGAAACTGGTTCATGAAAAATATGACTACCAATAATGGGTGGTATATAACCACCTGTCAATTTTTAATATCAGTTATAAGGTTTTATTTACCATACTGATTTTTCATTGCCTTTCAAGCGATCTGGCAGATCAAATTTAGACATCACAGCAGAATAACTTCGAGTATTTCTTAGCGCAGATACAGAAACTTTTGCTTTAAAAGTTCCAGAAATAGAAATTCTAGCTAGCATCTACAAATAATTATGGAATAAATGATAAAGGTACCTATATATATATATATACTTTATCAATAATTCTCAACATATTTCATTCATTATTTAAGTAGCCATAATATCAAAATTAATATTAAAGAATATCAAAAGAAACTTATGAAACAAATGTTATAATAAATTAGTAACACATTATTTCACGTACGTCCTTTATTTAACAGTAGAACATGATTAAAAAGACTGTCAGGCACAAATAACAAATTATTACTACCATTACAAATAATTGTAGAACAGTAGGAGGGACTTATAGAAACGTGCATCCAATGATCCAACTATATAATGTGTGGATTTTTTCAAAAATTATAAGGTAAAATATTATTAATTTCAAAGGCAACACATAAATCGCAATTGTCAATTTATTATAACTGTAATAGATTCTTACCAGAAGAAATACACTAATATAAAATAGCTTACTTTACCGACTTTACTGCGTAGAACAAATCAGTAAGTACATTGCTTTAACAATTAATCCGGCCAAGTGTGACCGCTTCTTTGTCAAAACAGCTGTACTTATGCAACAAGTTGTTTATGTATTGAAAAAGGAAAAAAACAAGAAATAAATTCCTGGTTACATATAGTACTTTTATAATAAGTTATTGGTACTTTAGTCGCTAATAAAGAGGATTATTACTCATCGTTGCAATATTTTTTAATATTATAATAGAAACTTGACTGTTATAAAAGTATTACCTGAAAAAACTTGTTTAATTTATGTCACAGAATAAACTTACCAAAAAGAAACATAAATTGTACATAATAGATTTCATTGTATGATCTTAAATTTCAGATATTTAATTTAGAAGTTACTTATTGAAAGTTGTATCTCATACAAGGAGACAGCTGAAAGTATTTTGTTAATGATTTCTTTTCAAAGGAGTTCAAGGTAATTCAAAAGTAAGGTGAAAGGACATTTGAAATTGATAAAAGCAGCATCTTCTGGTCACTTCTTCAAGCTACAAGCAGAGGCGCGAAATTGGACTCTATACATAGAAGGTATCATACAGTTATCAGATATAAAAGTTGTTAATCAAATACCTAAATTATACAATTCAAAAGCAACAGTAACACCGGTGACTACAGATACAAGAAGACTGGATATGACTTTGTTCGCGAGGGAACATGATTTTGGGGTCCCAGACGTCCCCAGGCACAGTTAGGTCTGCAATGACGATCGTGCTGGTTCACCAGTCCCTCTTTTGCCGCACATTGTTCGGTTTTGCTGTGTTCCATTTTCTGCGTTCATTTAACTTGCTGTATTGACTTTCATAGCTTGTATAAACTCATTAAAACGACGAACGTGTTGATTTTATTATTATTTTATTTATTATTTTATTTATTATTTTATCTCTATTTGTGGCCTCGCGGGGGCTAACCCTATATCACTGCATCCCTTAGATGTCTGCGTCCCTGCATCTCTTCCATCTTTGTTTCACTTACATGCCTGAATTCTTTATATTCCTGCGTCGTTTACATCTCCGTAACAGAGCATCCCTTCTTTACAGGCCAAGACCCATCCCTTTCAATTATTAATTATTTTATCCTCCTTTATGGGCCAAGACTCACGCTCCCTAACTATTTCTTATCCTACTCCTCTCTATGGACCAAGGCCTCCCTTGGCAAATATTTGTTTATTCATTCTTTTTATGAGCCTATCCTTATAGCACTGCATCCCTCACATCACTGTCTTCCTTACACCTCCGTATCTTTTACATCCCTTAATTCTTTACATCCCTCCATCCTTTACATCTCTGCATCCCTTACATCCCTTATGTCCCTGCAACCCTTATAGCACTGCATCCCTCACATCTCTACCTTCCTTACATCTCCGTATCTTTTACATCCCTCCATCCTTTACATCACTGCATCCCTTACATCCCTTATGTCCCTGCAACCCTTATAATAAATATATTACAAAAACTGGTTCGAGTAAAGGTAAGTAATTTTTGAATTTTTAATTTTTGAATTTTCAATTTTTCGCCCTCTAGCGGCAAAAATGTGAACTAAAATTTCGACCTCGAGTCAGCGCCATCTGGTTTTAGAAAAAGGAACTAAATCATGCTGAAGTTTTTGCCCTCTAGCGGCAAAAATGCGAACTAAAATTTCGACCTCGAGTCGGCGCCATCTGGGGGCAGAAAAGGGAACTAAATTTTGCAAAAATTTAAATTTAAAATTATTTTTCACGAGACTTTACTTACCTTTACTTACCTTTACTCGAACCAGGGGCCATAAGTGTATTATTTATAATATATTTATTATAAGGATTGAAAGGATACAAGTGGTGCGGGGAGAATTCAGGAGTGTAAGGGATACAGAGATATAAAGGGTACGGAGATGTAAGGGATACAGAGATATAAAGGGTACGGAGATGTAAGGGATGCAAAAATGTAAGGGATGCAATGATACAAAGGATGCAGAAGTGTAAGGGATGCAGGGATGTAAAGAAAACAGGGATGTAAGTAATGCAGGGGCGTAAAGGATGCAGTGATGTGAAAGTATCACTGTCGACAGATTTTTTTTTTTTTTTTTTTAACGTGGGGAAATCTTGCATAAGACCCCCCACCGTCCCATAGGAGAGCGCGGCGGGGAGTGTCAGATTCCTACTGACTAAAACCCCACGGCGAGGGCTCTGGGACCTTATGTGCATTAATCCGGAGCCCTCCACGCCTGGCACATTGGTGCCCGTCTGTGGTGCCTGGCATGTGGCCGACACCGGGGGTCGCACCCGGTACCGACTTGTTGGGCCGCATGCAAAAGCGTCTGGAGCCCCTACTCCTGACGCCAGCAGCCCTAACGGCCTCACTGTGTTTGGCGGTGAAGCCGTGATATTTAGTCACTGGTACTTCTTTTACATTGACTGGACTGATCATGAGAATGGTTAATTATTACGTCATAGTGTAACGACATTATCAATGAACATATCATTTTTATGAAAAGAATTGTTAAATTATACGACAGTTAATAAAATTTTTCACAGTAATGCACGTATCTTTTTTTCTTTTACTTATTTCTTATTCTTGCATCATTTGCAATGAAGTGTTTTGACTTCACCTGCAGTGCATGGTGCATGTATATAGTGTTTGAGCGAAAAAGCTGAAAAAGACGCATTTGTTGTTTTTCTTGATTTAGGGCATTACAACTTTACGAAAACATGAATCGTCATCCAAATGTAGATTATAAAAATCGTAGTGAGCCCCAAGTTGAATTAGAAAGTCAATTTATTTTACGTTTACCACCGGTAAGTTAATTTTCTTGCCAAATAATTTTTTTTAATCTAAATCATAAAACCTCAGTAATGCATGATTAAATGCATATATTAAAAATGATTAATGTGTTTTAGGAACCATCACGAGTTTTACGAGAAATTTTACGCTCTGGATTACCCATAAAAGATAGACTGAGTATTAAATTAGAAAATGATATGCGTTATGGTGAGGTTAGATTTGATCATTGGTTACTTCATGCTAAGGTAAAATTTATAGTAAATTTTTGTGTAAGAATATTGTTAGAATATTGTTAACTTAAATACAAATATTTTATTATTTAGGTTGTGGACTTACCAACAATTGTGGAATCTTTAAAAACTATTGACAATAAAAGTTTTTACAAAACAGCTGATATATGCCAGGTACGACAATTTGTAATCAAGCAACCTGGAAATATACATTTGTATATATTTATGTGTATAATATATTTTCTTATTCATTGTTTTAGTTGTTAATTTGTAAGGAAGAAGATGATCATACCACAACGGATGAGGAAAGTCCAGTAAGGCAGAAAAAGAAAGACCCAAATAAAGTGGACAAGAAGTTTCTATGGCCACATGGGATAACGCCTCCTACAAAAAATGTCAGGCGCAGAAGATTTAGAAAGACTTTGAAAAAGAAATATGTAGAAGCTCCAGAAATTGAAAAAGAAGTTAAACGTTTATTAAGGGTAGATAATGATGCTGTTAATGTAAAATGGGAAGTGATTTGTGAGGATGAAGATCAATCTAAACCTAGCAAAGTATCATCATCTGGCACAGTGAAAACTAAACGCGAAAGTATTAATGGTAATACTTCCCAGAGTCTTGATGTTGGTAAGTAATATAAATTAAGGTATAAGAAGTAATTGCATTGAAGTAATTAATAAAATGTTGTTTCAAATTTCTAGCTGAGCATGACATATTTGGTGAACCAGTAAGTGACAGTGAAGAAGATGATGAGGAAGCAAATATAAATGTAATGGAATTGGATGAAAATAGTAGACTCTCAGCTGACAGTAGAGTGTCAGATTCTAATTCCATGCAAGCTACATATTCAGAAAGATCTGCTAATAATGCAGCAACAAGCAACACTCTTGTTACGGAATTTAGTAAGGAAATGTTTCAAAATGACAACAATATAGAAACAGAAGGAGAAAAAACAGAGGATGCATCACCATCAAAAGTACCCAAACTTGAACAGTTTCATTCAGAGTATATAATTCCGGATAGTTTTACAGAAATGCCTCCTGCTCCCACATCAAAAGGTATGGTGAACGATCGTATTCGTTTGTTTCATACCCATTTAGTATGTATATAAACGAAAATTTCTTTTTTTATAATATAACAGACTCGTTACAAACGCGCCTTGCAACTTTACATACTGAATTAGCCGAACTGCGACAAAGAAGACAGCAACAAGAACTTGAGATTGCTAACATCGAAAATGTTAAGTTAAGACAAAGATTCCAAGAAATATTGGACAATTTATTAACGCAGGAAATGCAAAAAGTTCAAGAAGTATGTAGTTTATTTTTATAATTAGAACGGCAATTGTATTCTTGTATCTTAACATAATTATTCTATTTCAGATTCAAGACTTGGAACTGGGATAATTTTTGTGTTATAGCATTAAATAATTAAATAGTGTGATCAATGTATAAATATATTTGTTCATGAAATGTTTATTCTTTAAATCAGAAGTATCTGAGTTGTATATTTTGCTTAAATTTTTGTATTGTAATGAATTTAAGTTGTGATTTAATTCTGTATTTTTTTATGTAATATCTTTGATATGTATATATACTGATGGTTAAATAAATTGTAAATTCTTTTCCTTGTATATCATTTATGCACCCTAATGAAAATGTAGCTTGTATTGTATTTTAAAAAGACCTCGTAAAATTGAATTTTTTAATTCGATCGTAGCGCCATCTGTACGAAAACGGCTCAAACTACTCAACAACTTACCGACCAGCCGGGAATACTGGCGCCATCTATCGGGAAAGTTCGGAAACTACTCGTCGAATAGTTTCCTCGGTTGCCCGACAGGCGGCGCCCGTGTTCCCATCTGGAAAAATCTTAATCGGTAAGTTGTTACGTTGTTTCAGCCATTTTCGTATAGATGGCGCCAGGATCAAATTTAATAAATTTTAATTTTAGGCGGTCTTTTTAAAATACAAGTTTTAAATTGTGCTCTCTTAATGCAGACCTAATTGGACCTGGGGGTGTCTGAGACCCCGAAAATCTCTTCGAGAAAAAGTCATGTCCAGTTTTCCTCTATCTGTAGTCACTGTAGGTTGATTCAGTTGTTTGTGGTTGTTTGGAAACCATTCTAATGCATTGTAAGCTGTTGTAAACTAAAAATCCAGGATGGGTATTAAAGGATTAACTAAATTCATAAGCAATCGCTCAGATCATTACCTAGAATATTACGAATTACATGATACGTATTTGGTAATTGATGGTGACAGTATTTGCTTTCAACTATATAATTCGTATGCGAACTGTAATTGCATTTTTGGCGGCGATTATGATAAGTATGCACAATGTGTATCAGATTTCTTTGATAATCTGTTAAAATGTAACATAACGCCATTGGTTTTATTTGATGGGGCTTATGAGAATAGGAAAATGAAAACTATTATATACAGAACTAGGCAAAGGATCCGTACAGCATCATCTTTTTGCCCTCTCAGTCAACGGAGAATGAAATTTTTCCCTCTATTTTTAACCAAAGTTTTCAAAAATGTTTTGAAAGAGAAAAATATTCGTTACATGCAATGTTTATTAGAGGCTGATAATGCTATAGCCTCGGTGGCAAAAATTTTGAATTGTCCTGTATTCAGCTATGATTCTGACTTCTACATATATGGATCATTATATATACCATTTAATACAGTAGATAATTATGCAACCAAAAGTGGAACAGGAAAAGGCTATGTGATATGCTGTAAAATTTATAGAACTGAGCGCTTATTGAATTCTTTTAAAGGTTTAGATGAATCAATGTTACCACTGGCAGCGATACTCTTGGGTAACGATTATGTAAACCGTTCTACATTTAGAAACTTCTTTTATCATTTAAAACTACATGGAGTATCAAGGAGTACACATAATATCCAGCAACGTCGTATAGAAAAAACCTTCATTTGGTTAAGCAAATATACATTGGACAAAGCTGTTGCTGGAATTTTAAGTACATTAGATAAGCCTATACGACAAAGAATACTACACTTAATAGAGACTAACATAAACAGTTACATAAATGTATCTACTGAAATACTTACTCCATTAGGTTTCCCAAAAGACTATGTTGCCCAAGTAAATAGCCATCATTTAAATAGAATTTTCAAATATAATGGAGATATTAATAGCTTAACATATATAGAAGAAATTGGTGAAAAAGATGGCATTGACACAAGTGAAGAAGAGGAAGAAGAAGAAATTGAAATAATGAATGAGTCTGAATCAATGTCCAGTAATGCACTTGTTAGTAATTTACCTGTATGGTTTATAAATGAATTTCTAATGGCTGAACAAGAGTCATATTTACTGGACTTAATAATTCGAGGTTTATATATTTGTTATGTACAAATAGAGGATTACAATTATTCTTCGAGCATTATGATATGTTCAAGAATTATTAACGTTATATTTGCACTTCTAAAATCAGCAGTAAATGATGAAGTACATCATATGAGCTATATGACCAGAGATGAAAATGAAGCCAATTTACTGGCACGTTTTGTATTAGAATGTACAGGAAGTATAGTTTCTTGTGCACTTCCATCTTTGGCTAATCTAAGAGAAGTTCCATTAACTATTAGAAGAGAGATTTTAAATGATACATTAGAAGTTTCAGATATGAAACATATAAATGAATTTCCATCAGAATGGATATTATATATAATGTGTATAAAATATTGGATGAAGCACCCTAATCCTTCCAGATTATTTAATAGTTGTACATACTCCCTTTATGTCTGTATGTTATTTCATATAATAGACATAAAAATAGGGAAATATAGAGATTTACACGATTTTCAACGTAAATATAGTAACAGACTTCAGGCTATAGAAGAGAAAAGAAAAGCAAATGGTTATAAACCAAATTATTCAATGAATATTACAATTACTAAAGCCCTTAATGAAGTCGATCCTGATGATTGTATACTGGCAGCACCTTTTTTCATTTCTCATTTTAAAATGGATACAACATTATATTCAAATCCAAAGAAATTTAATAAATTTATAGTTCACATATTTGCAGAGTTTCAAAATTGTTTAAAACATGGTATGGATTTGAATACACTTTTAGGAAAGCCTTATCCACCGGCTAATATTGCTAATTTATATAATGGTACCTTACTATACAATTTATCTACTAATTTTCAAGCACAGGATGATATTGAAAGATATATAAATACTGTGTTTCATAAATCACAAAGCCTTTTAAGGGTCTTTAATATATTTTTGGTGAAAATAAAACAGAAAGCTAAATCTCGCAGAAAGCATAAACGGTCCAAAATGAAATCAAAACTTGGATAAAGTTCATGATCCAAATAATCGATTTTGTTCATTTACTTTAAACTAAATACTTTACTGTAAATACTTTTTATATTTTATATAAAAGTTGAAACCCTACGAGTTGTATGTATATGCATATGTAATGTAACAAAGCGAGTGTAAAGTAAGAATAAATTAAAGATTTATCGGTGTACAAATTTGCATTCGAGTTATTTCATTTTATTATACTATTTCTATTTCTTCTTGGAAATAGAACGTTTTCGCTTTTGATTTTTGCTTCGTGAAGTACTTGCTCTAGGATACTGGAAAGAATGTATAATTAATTTCCATAATCATAACAAACTCAGGTGTAAGTGCGAAGAGTGGTAGAAAAAGGATTGGTAAGACAGGCACGAACTGTACTTTGTAAATGCACAACTAACTTTATCTCGGGGTGTCTGGGACCCTTAAAGTCATAATCTCTCGAGAAGAAAGTCATTTCCAGTCCTTTTGTATCTTTAGTCACTGATAATACAAACACGAAATCCTTTGGGTAAAATCGTATGAATGATACTATATATTCTCTAAGCTATAGTTCTTTAAAAGCGTGTGCATGAAGATGTAATATGAATTCTTTTGTTTCACTTCATTATTTAAAAAATTTGGGAAAATTACGAATATGATTCTTACGCAATAAATTGTTTAATGCATACATATTAAAGCTAAATTTCTTCGTACATATTATGAAATTATCACTGTCCTGAACCTTTGTATTGCTTATTTTTCGTAAAGTTATATTTTACGAAAAAGTAGTACTGAACAATACGTTGCTGAGCATGTAATTAATCAAAGAATATATGTTTGATTAAGAAATTGGTATCCTTAGCTCAAATTTTTAATTAATTACAGTTCATAAATATCAAAGATTTTTAGTAATCTTTTTATTAACAATTCGCAAAAGATGAGAGGCGATAGGTGGTTGTAAAAGCGATTACGTAAAATTATTAAAAGTTTGGGCTCAGGTATTTAAAATATCAGGTAAATTTGTAATTATATTAACCTGTTGGATATCTATCTTTCTTTGTAATTCGGAGCTTTCCTGAATGCACCTGTCAAACAAGTTTAAAAGCTACCTTTACAAAAATGTATTTTCACCAGCGTCTCTCATTCGTTTAACGAGATGTCGGATTCGAATTCGCCGAAAACGGATGCAAGCAGTTCAAACCTTTCAGGAAATTTACGGCAGTTTCGATTTCAGAAGAAACAACTGAAACCGTCGAACATGTGTAAGGCTTTTTTTATTTTCGAATCATAATTTATAGGTCAATACAACTGGTGTCCATCTTTTGTTATGTTATTAAGAATACCCCTTTTACATGATTCCTATAATGTTACCTTTTGATTAAAAACTGATGGTTAATTATATTTTGATTTAAATAATAGATATAAAGGAGTATAGTATACTTCACAATTATTGGTTAGTTTATAATATATAATTATAAGCAAATGATCATGAATTAATTGTATTTTATTTTTTAAGCGGATGATGACAGCAATTTAGTATCTTCTGAGATTCAATTCAGACGTAAAGCAGTAAATGTAATTGAAGACAGCGATAGCGATTCTGATAATGCCACTAAGAATGCGACATCTTCGAACCACAAGAATAAGGTATATGGAAATGCTATATTGTATCTTAACTTTATTTAACTTAACTTTATGTAATTTTATAGGAACTAGATAAAAATACAAATTGGAACAGCGACGAGGGTGATGAAGATTCAAGGAACACTAGGAAGAGACCCTTGAAAGGATCTTCTGTATCCAATAAGAAAAAAAAAAGAAAATATAATCAAACCGAAGATGTTGACGTTGATTCAGATGAACAATGTTTTAAGGATAAAGTATTTGATAGGTATGTATCTAATAACCTAACAAGTATCGCTTATATTAATTTCTCTTTTACAATATTCACAGTGATGAAGATTCAGATATAGAAATATCTAACGAACTCACCGGTGATAAGAAAGCAGTTTTAGAATTCATGCAAAATGCTCTGACAACAGAGTTACTTTTAATGTCTCAGTGTTCTCAAAAGAAAACCAATGCTATCATAGAAGCAAGGCCATTCAAAGATTGGAGAGATTTAGTTCAGAAGTTTCAGAATAATAAATATTTAGATACAGAACTTTTGAATTCAGCTCAGGTAAATAATAGAAACTGACGGATTTTCAATTTTCTTATTTTAATTTCATTTCTAACGAAATAGGAATTATTGGCTACCAGACATGCGGTTGAAACTCTGATGAAAAAATGCCTCCGTTTATCTACAAATATTGAAAGGGCTGTAGCTGTGGGAGCATCAGCCATCACAAGTCAACCAAAAGGACTACCAGCAAATTTAAAATTAGCTTCGTATCAGATGGTTGGGTTAAATTGGCTTGCTGTGATGCATGCACAAAATGTTAACTGTATACTAGCGGATGAAATGGGTTTGGGAAAGACAGTTCAGGTAATAGCCTTTCTTACGTATTTGAAGGAGGCTGGTCTTAAGGATGAAAAAGATGGACCACATTTAATTGTAGTTCCTAGTTCAACAATGGGTAAGTAGACATTGGTAGATCATTTTTAATTTTTACTGCTTCTGTTTGTAATTATTCTTCAATTCGTATAGAAAACTGGAAGAACGAGTTAGAGAGATGGTCACCTGGGTTGAACGTTGTACAGTATTATGGTTCTCAGGAAGAACGAAAAGAAATGAGATTAGGTTGGCGAAACGGAGATCTGGATGATGTCGATGTTTTGTTAACGACGTATAATTTAATTAGCAGTACACCAGAAGAACGGAGATTGTTTCGTGTTATGCCTCTCGGTTATGTTATTTTTGACGAGGCTCATATGTTAAAGAACATGAGTACCATCAGATACGAAAACCTTGTTAGAATTAATGTACGTATCTGTTTCACTAAGTACATTTTTCTAACTAAATAGCAATGCGCAATTACTATTATAGGCAAAACATCGAATTCTATTAACGGGTACTCCACTACAAAATAATCTGTTGGAACTTATGTCGTTGCTGATATTCGTAATGCCTTCGCTGTTTGCTGGTAAACAAGCTGATTTAAAAAGTTTGTTTTCAAAGAACCCCGTGAGTACAAAGTGATTTAACAATAGTTGCAATAAATATAAAAGCAAATGGTGTTTTACATGTTTTAGAAAATTCCAGCAGTTAAAAAGGATGGCGAACAGCCATTATTTGAACAGGAACAAGTTAAAAATGCAAAGCAAATTATGAGACCGTTCGTACTTCGTCGATTGAAGTCTGAAGTTCTTCAAGACTTGCCGAAAAAAAGCGAACGAGTAATAAAATGTCCATTGACGAAAAAGCAAAAGAAACTGTACACAAATTTAGTTGCTGAGTTTTCAGCCGAAGCGGACCAAAGCACCGAAGTTAATGGTATTGGAATGATGATGCAGCTGAGAAAGCTTGCTAACCATCCGCTCTTAGTGCGGGATTATTACAATGATTCCAAGTTAAAAGTAAACTCAGAATTTCAATATTTATTAGAAATCTTCTAATGTTATTAATTCATAACGTACATAATTTTCTGTCAGATAATATCAAGTAGATTAGCAAAGGAACAAGCGTACAAGCAAAAGAATGCCGATTATATATTTGAGGATTTACAATGGATGTCAGACTACCAAATAAATCAGTTAACAAGGACGTATAAGAGTTTAGCTGGATTAGGGTTACCACAGGAACTTATTCCAGAAGCTGGAAAGTTAAAAATATTGGACAAGATGTTACCAAAGCTCAAAAAAGAAGGTCACCGTGTATTGATCTTCAGTCAATTCACCATGGTATTAGATATACTAGAAGAATATCTAACAATCGGAGGGCAAAAATATTTAAGGTTTGTTTGAATTTTGTTTGTATCAAAGTTCTTCAATTTTCAGTTATGTTAATATTTTCAACAGATTGGACGGTAGCACTCCAGTAACAGATAGACAGGATTTGATAAACGAGTATACGGAAGATGATAGTATATTTATATTTTTATTATCTACAAAAGCTGGAGGTTTAGGGATCAACTTAACAGCTGCAGATACCGTTATAATACATGATATTGACTTTAATCCATATAATGATAAGCAAGCAGAAGATCGTTGTCATAGAGTAGGCCAAAAGAGGTAATCACTGCTTATACTAATTATTATATAACAGTATAAGGATTATGATTGTATTTTTAGACCGGTTACTATAATGAGATTATTGGGCGAAGGTACTATAGAAGAAGGCATGTATGAAATAGCTCAGGACAAATTACATCTTGAACAACAAATTACAGATGAAGGAGGTAAGTGCCATACATTTTTTGTTTGTTATTTAATTGCAAGAGTAACATTTATTCGCAGAAAATGAGAGCGCAGATAAAAAGAGTGTACTGAAGTTACTTAAGATGACATTGGGATTGGATCACAATAGATCCTTATCTCTGTCACCAGTAAAAAATGCAAGAACGAGTAACGGATTATTGAATAGTGAAGCGAAATGTAATATAGAATTTTAAAATTAATATTTTACTTAAACCATATTTTTTACTAGTGAAAAGATTTGCATCGTTTTTTATATATATGTATATGCATTCTTCAAGTTTGTGACAGTGCCGTTGCAGTTTTGCAACACGTTGAACTTCTTTAATTTGAAGGAATTTGCGTATACAATTTTAAATGAACTTACTTGTGAAATTCTATAATCTATTTGTACATCATGATTCTATTTGTACACATAGATATCCGTAATTTTTTATTTTATTTTCTGTTTAATACATGTGTTATATCTTACTCATGTACTTTTACTATAAAGTTTAAGAAAGTGATGAAGACTGCACAACTCCCAGTGAGAAAAAAATAGTGAATACTGGAAACTATACGAACAATTGTACGTTAAAATATTTCTTTTCATATTATTTTGCTCACATTCCTTAACAAATTTATTGTACAGACACTAAAGATACTACGCATCGGAGTTAATTTATTATCGTATAATACATGTATTTGTACTCAATTAAAATTTGATCATTGTAATAAACAGTGTATGTTAATTCCCTAACGATTAAGTAAATTAGATATTGTTAACAGTAATAAAATCAAGCATTTGAAAATAAATTATGAATTTGTATTTATGTCGTGTTAATCTTTTAAAACCCGAAATTCTTACAATAAGATTTACATCCCGTCCTCGAAAGAAGTTGTAGTAAAGTCCATCTATACGCTAAAAGATTATTTCCTAATTGGATTGAAAATAAAGCTGAGGATCGAAAACAATGCAAAAATATAAAATTAAAATATTATTTATTTCTGTCCAAATCTATGTATCAATTACCACGGTTTTGTAGTAAACACGTGTCATGTTAAAAATAAATTATAACATTACTATATTGTAATAGTAATAAACGAATGTGCGTTTTTGGTACCTAAAACACGTTTACGTATACGTGTAAAAAAATTATACACCTATATTATTAGAAGCTAATACGTCTTAGGTCGGTAACAGGAATATCATTAAAAAAAAAGCTATGAAAATTCTGTATCCCTTAACACTATTACATCACATGTGCGATACCCTGAATACGATTAATCATGGCACGTGATTGGTTTTTTTTTTTATGCGGTGGCCAAACATAAACGGAACATTTGCTAAGAATATTCGTAGATGAACTTGCAATTAAATTTGTAAGTTCGTCATAACACCTGGCGATCCACATCGGTAATGAACAATGCAGCGAAAAATTGGGAGAATAATTTACCCATGTATTGTTCTTCTTTCACTGGCCACACTCCTTCTAAGAAACCTATATGACCGCCACGCGATGTCACCACGACAGCTACGTTCTTCGTTTCTGATATTTCCTTCAGAGGAATGGCTAAACATTAATGAAAAGAATTTAATTAGTTTGAAGAAATCCAACGAACCTGATTCACACCATGTTGAATAAAAAATTAAATTTGATTATTTCTATTTGTCTCTATGTCTTTGTGTTAGATGTGAGTAACAAGCGCATCGGGTCGATATGGTATTAAGACGATACGCAAACTTATATTACCATGAACAGGTTGGAATGGGTCGTCGGCAGCGCTGAGGCACAATAATGGTACATCAATCAAATGCAATTTGTCGTGTATGGTTGCGTTTGAATAGTACTCCTCCACGTCTTTGTAGCCAAATTGTTTCACCGTGAAATGCGAATCAAATTCTCGTACGGTTTGACTCTTAAAGGTAATAGAAAATATTATATTTAATTCAGCGGATGATTGTATACGTTGATAAGAAGAGATTTAGATAAGCTTACTTTCAGAAGTAATTCAATATCTACATCGAACATTCCGGTTTCCGATGAGTAATGCAAACGTTGTATATTCTTGCGTAGCGTGCCAGCCAAATATTTATTTATCATCAAATTGAAATAATTCTCTTCCGTGTTTTTCGTCGCAGCGAAAACATTCCATGGCACAGAGATTAGAAAGCATCCTCTTAATTTATTCCTTGCCATTACTCCTTGTTGCGCTAAATAATTACCTAATATTAATCTGAAAACAAATCACACAATATGTACATTGAATCTATTTAATTATATTTTTATGAAGTATAATAATAATTATTTTTTAAGGAAAGAATTTTATTACCCTCCCATCGAGATGCCCGTCGCTCCAAGAGGTACATGAGGATAAATTTTCTTTACATGCTCGATAACCTCTGATAAATCGTCGCTGTTTGCAGCACAGTACATCCGTGGAGTCTGGAATAATTATACGATTATCCCTGGTAAATTTCTGTTTCTATTCTTGCAACGCGCTAATTCTTAGACTGTATTTAAACGTCTGATTTCTGATAGGCGTTAATAAAGTATTCAAAGTACTCTATTTAATTTTTTTATTACCTTTAATTCTACGCCTCCCAGTCCCCTGTTGTTGAAGATTACACATCGTATCCCGACTTTTTTCGCGGACGAGACAAGACATTTGATGTACTCCGCTTGACTCGCACCGGTGAGTCCTGGCAAGATGATCACGATGGGAGATGTAACGGAGCATCCCTCTTCCGCCCAGTCCAAAGCCACTTCACCCCCATCCGACAGGGTCAGGATCTCCCTGCGAGACGATAGATTAATTAGAAGGAAAGTAAAAAAATAGGAAGCAATAATTAGCACGCATTCGTATCAATTAGCACGGTGACTAACTTACCAACCTGCGATAATTAATGAGCGGTAGGATTCGTGATCTCAGAAGACTAGCTATAATGGTCTGCGCCCTCGATTCGAAACACCATAGGGTTGGCCAGAATTTATTTCTCACTAGTGGTACCTGTTCCTCGAGAAACGATCGAAACGGTCCATGGGCGCATACTAGCATCGGCGTCTGAAAGTCATTTAGGAAGGTTGTACATAGTATAGTCATCGATTCATCGACCGAAATGAATGATCGAATGATTAAGCGTTGAAACAGTACGTCATAGGAAACATTGAAAGCATACGTAATTTACGATGTTAATATATATTAACATCGCTGCTGTATCGTATACTTATTTTCCATTACACAATTATTTCTTGCAATTTCAATTTTGATCTTATTTAATCATGTTATATACAAATTTGTTAATGTATGTACTGAATAATTAATAAATTAATGAATAATAAGTATTCAAAAAGAAACTGTCATTAAAAAAAAAACAGAAACCAAGGATTTGAACCGCGGACTTCTCGATAGTGAGTTATACGTTTAACCACGGAGCTATTTCCACGTGTGCGTTTGTTATACTTTAGAATGTAAGGAGTAACTAACTTTAATTGTTAATATCTTAAATAATTAGTCGTTTGCCCCCAAAATGGGATATGGCAGAGTTTCATTAATAAGTAAGCGTAACACATGGGTAGTTCCCCTGGTTAATTCTTTTCCCGCGTTTGTTCCCCACCCGCCATCTTATGAAAATGAAAATATCTTCTTTCAATGAAACTCATGCAAGTTTGGCAAGGTAACGGAACAACCTACATATTATTCGTTATTGATCTTCTGTAACAGTGAAAGATCAAGAAAGAATTTTTAGGAATATTACTTTTCAATTTCTCTATTCGATCTCCACGATTGGTACCGTCCTTAACCTCATCCACTATTCTCAGCATGTTCGTGACATTTTAAAAGAGCGAAAGACACTTCTGTCAAGCTGCAAAAATGAATGAAACTTTGCCTCGCTTGTTCACCGAGAAATTACATATGTACATACACCAATGAGTCCGTCTATTCAACATCGCATTATTCTTGACGAATGGCTATTTGGTGAACGCCGCGATGTTACCTGTTCAGGCGTGTGCGTGCACTGCGCGCGCAATTCGTCCGGGGCAAGTGCCTCGGAGTTTTAAGGTCAAATTAATAAATCGTGCAACTCCTCGTGGCTCGTATAAACTATGAAGGGTCGTGTCAGAGTTCGGCTATTCGTATCGCGGAAATCCTGATAATATATCGGTCTAACGGTATCCATAGCTTTGGCGTCTTAATCATGCGATAAGGAGAACAAGATATCTGAAATTGCGTAGTGTGATCATATTTCAATTGTTTGCAAAAAAAAAAAAAAAATTCATTTTCTATGATAATCGTCAACAAAGAAAATTGCTTTCGTTAATTAGATTGTTATCTATAATTTCTATAACCTTGTCATTTTCTTGCGTGAGAATTACAATATTGAGGTCAACGAGTGATCAAACAATAGTCGTGAGATAGTATCATGGAGTTATTTAATTCCGCGCTTTCGGTTACATCCATTACCGATCGCAAATCAAGAGACGTTAGATAATTAAGACTCATTCCACGTCCACGTGTCAATAAACCTTTTATTGTTTCGGTAATGAATAGAAGACTCCAGAATTTGCAGCGAAATTCATCATTATTATTTTTAAGCGACACACATGTAATAGACTGAAGCATGATACATGCGTGACTCTGAATCAAATGAAAGTGATTGATGTTAATAAAGGTTAAAAGTCTATAGATAACCGATAACTGTTCCTATGTAGTCTAATTAGAAATTTACAATTAAATATAAACAATGTTATTATACAGACGATAAAACGACAGAGATAAATAAGAGAATTTCAAATATTATTCAAATTACAACATTTTTAATTCCAATTTCGTAATTTATTATCAAATCGTTCATTTGCGAAATAGAAATGTTTTTCTTTCGTAATTCTTGAATAAAATCTGTTTTATGGGTCGAAAGTAAGTACTTCTTAAACACCTGGCAATTATTAAAACGTTCAATGTATTAACACGTTCCGGTCGTTGATTTTGTATCGCTTATCATTCTGTCGTTTTAATTTCGCGAACGATTCACGAACGATTGCGAACTTTCTGTACAGAATGTAACTAAATGAACGAGAAACAGCGAGGGAGATACGTTAGCTTACTCACTTTGACAACTTCGAAAAGATAATAGATGCAAAATCCGGCGCCCAGTAGCGCCCCGTAGTAGACCGTCGGAATGTCGAGAAGTGATTCGAACAGATTCAGCATCGTTACACTCTATCGATACGTTAAACAGACTGGCTACACAGGTGGAACACGATGTGAACGGCGGTGATTGTCAGGATCGTTGACAATCTTCGCCCGTCGAATGTCGGTAGCCAACAAAACCGATCGCCAAGCTTTCGAACAGACTCGTGCGACCGCGCGCATGACGTTCAAATAATTGAACAGTCAAGTAGTTTACTAGCCGAGTGACCGGTACAACCGCGTTCAAAGATAGCCCCTCTCAGTTAAGGGGAAGCGTAGGAGAAGGAGCCACCCACTACACGCGCTTTGATTTATAAAAAATAGGTTAAAACTTCTGTCATCGCGAGAAGTGAATGGCTTCTTTCCTTATATTCATGTACATTCGGGTGCATCGTAGGCTTCCTTTGGTATAAAGAGGAATCTCTCATTTTCAGTCTTTAGAGAGAGCCTACTTTATAACCTCCTTTCCTCCCGCGTAAAGAAAATGGTTGACGAGCTAAAGCGAACTAGAGCGAGATTCGAAGCTGTAGCACGCTTGATTGTCAAAAATTAGGTGCGTGACCCGGCAGGAAATATTTCCGAAATTTGCCCCGCCTGCTGAAAAGGTTGGCCATCCCTGCTCTAGAGGCAACCCTTTATCGGCCATTTCCGGTGAAACCGTTTACCGTTTAACCTGTACAAAAGTGACAGAAAGTCTAAATGCTATAACCTCCTTTTCAAGATTGAAAATCTGAGATACGGGTTGGCTAATAAAGCATAGAGTAGGACAATTCTTCTCCTTAAGTAAAGGAAGCCTAAGTTGCATACGAATTTACTTCCCCTCGATCAAGGGAAGCCATTCTTCGATGCATATTTTCCGACAGTCGTGCACCGATTACGTACATGTAGTTACACACATGCACTCGACAGTCGGTCACGTGCACGCTAGTAGATTCGCTCCCACACTTACGGTACGACTCCTCCGCGCCATCCTACATGTATACAATATGTATATGTCCAAAAATACGCAAGTCGTGTGCATGGTGTGTAACGGGTTACGTAAGAACGGTTTAAACTTTTGCAGTGACCACAATGCAATTCGAATTCGTTTCGAGCAATCCACCCGAGTCAAGGTGCATTGCACGGACATTTTTATGCACATTGCTCAATGAAGCATCACTGTGCGATTCGGTTAGCTTCCGAGCAAAATGGTGGAAAGTAAAAGTAGTCTGGTCGATGAGTATCATTTCTACTGACGTTCAAACACGCATGCATTAAATAAAAATAACTCGTGCAAGTCATATTTCAGTTTTATGCTTTAAATGCACATTTTAACGATTTACCAGACGACGTTGGGTCTTCACACGTTACACGCTACGATAATATCTTGTATACGCCTAATTGATGCGTAGATACACACCGTGAACAATTCGCCCGTAACTGTGATCACGCGTGCGATCTATCAGACTGTAATCAGATCTTCCGCGATTATTCTTTTTACATAAGTCGCGACTATAATTGGTAGCGCTCCGAATTGTTATCAGGGATCGTAGAATTTTACCCGTTTTTGTAAGATATAATTTTGAGACAGGTTAGAAATTAAATGTCGTTTAAATTAGATAGTGCCATTATTAATAAATTAGTTAAGTTAGTTAAATGTAGAAATTAAATAGTGTCGTTAACACTGTATTTTAATTTTACAAGATAACAACCAAGAACAACTTGTTTATGTAAAAGAAAGCTTCTCGTTTTCTTTCCACGAGCATCTTCTTTTTTTTAGTTTATTCAGCTATAATTTCATGTCATTTTGAAATACTATAATTCTACTTCTCATATTTCATTACTCCAACCGCTTGAGCACCTAGATACGCCTGCGGTTAATAAATATATATAACACGATAAATATTAGTGTGTCATCGAGCAAACAAACCGTGTATAATATTATAATATTTAACAGAATTTAAACGAAGTACTTACCGTTAATAATTCAGCCACTTATCTTCCGAAAAATAACAGTAGTTATTCATTTCGAATAAATGATCCATTACTATCAAGATAGGCATCGCTATTTCTCGTAATGCTTTTCATATACATATAATAAAATAAGTGAACAGTCATGTTGGTAATCTAAATTTATACAGAATTTCAAAGTCAATCATTTGTATATGTATATATAATTTACCAACAATTATAACTTAGTTTCTCAACAAGAAGCATAGGTGCATCGAATTCTTAATTCAGCAGCGTAGATACATTTTATATCAATTTTCAATGCCATTACGGATATCTTTTTAAAGATAAAAGATCTCCTTGACCGATGACTCATTTGTCGAAAAAAGGTTCCAAGAATGGCACGCCTGTGCATTATCAAAGCTGATGACACACAACTTTGAATATTGCATTTTCTTACATTTCTGTACTTGGTTAACAAAACATGATTAACGTATTTCTATTTATAAACCTGTTTTCCATTCAGTTAACTGCAGTGACTACAGATCCAAAAAAACTGGACATGACAATGTTTTCTAGGAATCTTCAATTTGTGTCTCGAGGACGACTGCCATCTCCTTTAGCTGAGTATAAAAACGTGTAACACTTCGTACTGAAATAGTGAACGCAAGTTGACGGTAACGGCAGATTGCTTCGATGTATCACCGATACCAGATGAAGGTTTCATTATGAGCGTTTGGTGACATCACGCGTTAATTATAAATTAATTGTTAAATTAAATTGCTCATGAAAAAGAATCTCAAATTCGAAAGATTTGCATTTTAAAAAGACTGCGACAAATTAAATCTTTTTAAAATCGACCACAGCGTCACCTATACGAAAACGTCTGAAACTACTCAATAATTTACCGACTTTGTGGTGGTCGGCTACGAAGTCGGTAATGTTCACAAAAGTTATTTGAATTTGTTAAAATATAATAAATGAACAACGAGCATGTTTTAATCAAGGCGGCGTTAAGATTTTTCTTGAAGGCGGTTTCTTTATTACTGACTTCGTTGCCGGCCGCCACAAATTTCGGAACACTAGCGCCATCTATCCGCAAGTAGCGGAAACTACTCGTTGAATAGTTTCAGTCGATTGCTAATAGATGGCGCTAGTGTTCCCGCAGCCGGTAACTTGTTGAGTAGTTTCAGCCGTCTTTGTAGAGATGGCGCAAGAATCGAATTAAAAAATTTTAATTTATGGCGGGCTTTTTAAAATACATGTTTATCAAACAATTACTTTAGTAATTTTGCGGTTTTGTGTTGATTCTGATTTTTACGAAATAAAATTAAATCGAGTCAATATGGCGCCTTTTCAATTGCGATTTACTTTTGCAATTAATTTACAATTAACGTATAATGTCACCAAAGGCTTCATAATAAAGCCTTCACCTGTGCACTAATAATAAGACAGCAGCAATAAAAAGCTGCGTATTGTATATAGAGAACACACATGATTATTATTACATACAAAATGTAAATCATATTATTCAATTTAGTATGCATGGTAATTCATACTTTGACGGAGAGTCATACAGTCAACTTCATCAATTTTCATCGTGTTCGTTTTAACATTGATATCTTCTTCTATTTGAAGTTGTGTTTTTAGTAAATAACGCAACGACGCATGAGCCTATAAAAATTTACACCAATTAAATAACCGTATAAGTGAAAGTAAAATACACATGAATGATAGTAGTATCAACAGTATAAACCTCGAATAACGTTGCTTGCAATTCTGATACAATTTCTCGTAAATCATACACTTCTTTAACGAGATTAGTTTCAACTAGATCTCGGGTGAGTTCCAGACCAGGTCGTTGACAACGATTGCCAAGTCTCGTGTGCGCTAAAGCTAAATACTTTTCCTTTTCCGAAATTGATTTTTCTATGCGTGTGATATTTTGAGTCATCTCGTTTGCTTGCCGCATTATCTACAAATATGCATATGTTAGAAAGTTTTCATAAAATGTCCTTCGTTACCTCAAGAAACAGGGTGAGCCTGGACCCCAATATTTTAAAGTTCTACAATAGTTAAGTTAGTAGTTATGAATAAATTTCTCACCTCAGAATGTTGTAACTCCAATTTTGTTTTCGCTTCTTTTGTTTCCTCGATGCGTCGTCTAAAAGCATTATCAGTAACATTTTTCTGCTCATTTAAATCCTCGATAATTTGTTTAATAATTGTGTCGATATAACAGCGCATTGGTCTGGCGCTGTTTATTTCTTTTGAGGCAGCAATGATATTATTATTCGTCTGCATCTCCCATTCATTTAGCTCGATAGTCCTTAATAATTATTATTATATTGTTATTATAAAATCAAATAGTTGTATAAATCGATTATATAATTAAAGTGGTACTTGCGATGGATCGAGCCGCGAGCTGCCATGGTAAATGCTTAAATTTAAGCTAGTCTCTTTCAATGTTAAATTATGTCTGTCGATACGTAAATTATTTTCTTTATCTTCAAGCTCGTGATCCATATAATAAAGCGTCGCTTTTAATCGTCGTATTTGTTCCTGAGTTTGTTCCAAGATTCGCACTAATAAACTTTCAGCGCCTTTAATTATCTCGCATTCTTTTACCAATTCTTTCTCAACGTCGTCGCGGACTAGATCAATTCCTAATCTATGCTCTCTGTAATAAAATATTAATAATTTATTAAATTATTAATTTTATTTATTTTGTAGAAAACTGACCTGAAAATGAGACATTTTTCACAAACGACAAGCGCGTTCTTCTTTACGGAGGATAACGCGTCCATGATACGTTCCTTGTATATTAAAAGGGCATCGCTTTCAAGAAGAACTTCTTTCCTTATACGTAATAATTCTTTCTTACGAAATTCAATATCCTCTAGTTTTTCTTTAATTCTATAGTCTGTTTCTTCTTTGTTATTTCGTGCTTTTTCGGTGCTGCACTCACAAACACGTTGCGATTCATTTAGGAGCCGCTCCGCTAATTCTTGTTGCGCTTCGGAACATCGATATCTAATGGATAAGTTAAATTATTAATTGGAATTAATTAAAATTTTAAATTTTTATTGATCTAGGAAATTTATTTTATATCAATCACAAAAAGATTTTTACAATATTTGATTTAGTTTTATTTAAATTGATTATTCATACCTGTAGCGATTAACAAGATGCCACTCGTTCAAACTAAATTTCAATGTGGGCGGTGGAACGACGATTGGCTCAGGAGTATTTGACATTTTCTTTGAAATTTTGAAATACAGCTACCTGTTCCAAGAACACCCTCCTTTTAAAGGGACCACTTCCTGGTTTGATCTATATGCAAATGGATCAGTATTAAAAAGGTTTCTATAGAAACGTTGCTAACAATTTTGAAATTCACATAACCGCACAGTAAGTAAATTTTACTACTTCGCATATCGGTAGAGTAACATGACGTTGTCCACTTACTCTCGTTTCTGTTTCACCTGTTTCACATTAGAGGCCTCTGTGCGCAAAAGAAACTGTTACGGCAACCATGTTTCATATCTAGTTAAATGTTCTGGTCGCGGTGAATGTCGATGTTTTCCCCTTATTTTTTAATTTGCCGCGTATGCAACGCCGTGACACAATGGCGGCTTCCGTTATAAGCTCATACTTTTTGACGACCGTTTTCGATAAAATGTAAAGATCTGTCGAAATTGTGCTCTTTTCGACAGGCTTTAGACGTTTAAAAATGACATAGGGATATCGAAACTTTAAGGTATTCGCGGAGAGGCTTTCTGGGGGGTATTAATACACGTTATAAGGTATGGATTCTTCTGATCAATAACGAATTTCAGAATCGAAGCGATAAATTACACATATAATGTGTCTTTCATTTCAAAAAATTAATTCTTGATTTTTCAGAGTAAAATACACATACGACAAAATGTCAAAGCGTCCTGCAGATAGCGGGGATTCCGGCTCCCAGCCGCCTATTAAAAAAGTTCAATTCGAGCCGATTTTAATCGGACCTATATCAACCTTAGAAGAAATGGACATGAAAGTTCTTCAGTTTCAAAACAAAAAATTGGCTCAGGTAAGAATGATTTATGTATGAAATTAAAAGAAAATAGATGGAATCCTGAATTTTTACTTATAATTCTGACTCTTTCATTTTTAGTTACAACGGTTTAATATTATGCTATTATTTTTATGATGTTCCCTCAGATGTTCATTTCATCAAAGTATAAAGCTCCCTGATTCTTAATTTTCATATTATAATGTCTTTTACAGCGGTTAGAACAGCGCCACAGAGTAGAAGCTGAATTAAGACAAAGAATTGAACAATTAGAAAAAAGACAAATGCAGGATGATGCAGTACTCAATGTTGTTAATCGTTATTGGAATCAGTTGAACGAGGACATACGTGTATTACTTCAGAGATTTGATGCTGAAACAGCTGATGAATCAGAAAATAAGAGTAAGAAATAATGAAACTGTTACATAATTAAATATGTATGAGGTGAAATATGTTCCATTTTGTATTTGTAGATGAAAGTGAAGCTACAACATCATTTCTAATGCAATTATCTTCTTGGGATAAAGAAGAGTTAGATGATAAATTAGCAAACCGTGTTCAAGTGTCCAAGCGTGCTGTTTCTAAAGTTGTACAGGCATTTGACCGTCTTTCGCAAAGAAATGAAAAGATTACGCTTGCACTGAAAGGAGAGTTCGATGGAGGTAATGTAATTGAATGTATCAGATAGATGTATTGAATTAAAATAAAATTTTATATTACAGAAGAAGCACCCAATATCGATGAAGTAGTCCGCAGAGCAAATGCCGAAATACAAATGGAAAATAGGAATCTTCAAGCAATAAATATACAACTCCATGAAAAATATCACACTATTTCATTAAAGGTAAGTTCATTTATTTTATATGTTTATTTGTATATTTTTTTATAAATGGGTTTCCCCTATAGATGTCAGAATTACAAGATACTATAACAGGAAAAGATACGTTAGCCGCCGAACTTCGCAATCAGGTGGATGATCTTCAATATGAATTAAATAAAGTACGAGCACGCAATGATAAATTAGAGCATCATCTTGGAGAAGCCATTGAAAAACTAAAGGCGTTCCAACAAATACATGGTTCAGATGAGAAGGGTAGTAATAAACCAAGTACTTTAGTTGCATCAAGTGTTTCACAAACAAAGGTAGGGTATTCATAATTACACTAACATTTTAATATATACATATTTAATTTCTTTTTTTTTCCATAGCTTGAAGATTTGCAAAGGGAATTGGAAGAAACAAGAGAATTAGCCAATAATAGGCTACAAGAATTGGATAAACTGCACCAACAGCATCGTGACGCGTTGAAAGAAGTAGAAAAATTAAAAATGGATGTGAGTTGTTTGGTTTTTGTAAATCTAATTTTTATAATGCACAGTATAAAATGTAAATTAATGTCATGTGCAATAAATATTCGAATTACACTTGCTTTTACTTGTTTCTTGTGTTTTACTTCTTTGCATTCGAATAAAATGATAAACGGATGGAAAGGTTATTTTTAATGTACGAATTATTATTTTGAAAAGTTTTTTATATTTACAGATACGACAACTACCGGAATCTGTTATCGTTGAGACAACAGAGTATAAATGTTTGCAGTCGCAATTTTCTGTATTATATAACGAATCGATGCAATTGAAAACGCAATTAGATGATGCTCGTCAACAATTACAATCCAGCAAGAACGCACATTTACGTCATATTGAAATGATGGAGGCAAGTTTATTTCATATTATTTCATATAATCTTATAAAATGTCTGCTAATTCGCGTGCATTTATTCTGTAGAGTGAAGAGTTAATGGCTCAAAAGAAATTGCGCGGGGAATGTATACAATTGGAAGATGTATTAGCTCAATTACGAAAGGAATATGAAATGTTGAGGATTGAATTTGAGCAAAATTTGGCAGCAAATGAACAAACAGGTCCGATTAATAGAGAAATGAGACATTTAATAACGTCTCTACAGAATCATAACCAGCAGCTTAAGGGTGAAGTTCATCGATATAAACGAAAATACAAAGAAGCTTCTTCAGAAATACCAAGAGTATGTATTTTGTTACACGAATGTCCATAAAGAAAATGAATTAACAAAATGAAAGTCTTTACAGTTGATATCCGTACTTTATTATAGCTAAAGAAAGAAATTGAGGAATTGACGACGAAATTGGGGCAGCAAACTTCTCAAGAAAATAAAGAGGGTAGTAATTCAGACGGCAGTGGGAAAGAGGAAGATGCATCAAACTCTCTTCCTGGTTCTACACATGTACAAAATAATGCACTATTTTATTATTTGTATTTTCTAAATTATATAGATATGTCATTAAAATTTTTTTTATTAATATAGATTAAGGAAGAAAGTGGAGTTTCAATTAAAAGGGAATCTGGAGAAGAAGAGGTAGAAACAATTGAAGTTGGAGAAGGAGAAGGAAACAAAGGCACTCCAGATTCGTTAACTCTAACTTCTCCAACTCTGAAGAAAGAAAAAGATATTAAACGCGAGAAGGATATTAAGAAAGAAACCATTAAAACCGAGCACCGTGATCCAGCTCACCGTGCTAAAGACACGAAAATGGCAGAGTCAGAACTGGTTAGAGATTTGAAAGCACAACTCAAGTACGTTTATCTAACAGTATTAAAAATTCTTTTGTATTTTCTTCGTTATTTAAATATCATTATAATTATAGAAAGGCTGTGAACGAAATGAAAGAAATGAAACTGTTGTTAGACATGTATAAAGGTGTTGGAAAAGAACAAAGGGACAAAGTTCAATTAATGGCTGCTGAACGAAAGACAAGAGCGGAATTGGAAGAATTACGTCAGCAAATAAAGAAAATTCAAGTATATAAAACTACGATTTAAAATTTCTTTTTTTAGGTAATTTGTTTGAGCTGTAAGTACATTATTTTTAGGAAAGTAAACGCGAAGAGCGTAAGAAATTAGCAGACGAGGATGCGCAAATAAAAATAAAAAAATTAGAAGAACAAGCATACACACTTCAGCGTCAGGTTGCTTCTCAAAAGCAGGTAAGTTTATATGCTTCGAAAATGCTGTGAAATATAAATATGCTTAAAACTATGAACGATTGGTAATGCTAAATAGAACTATGTGTGGTTACAGGAGGAGGAGGCTCTTTTAAATGAAATGGAGGTAACCGGGCAAGCGTTCGAAGATATGCAAGAACAAAATTCTAGATTAATTCAACAATTACGTGAGAAAGACGACGCGAATTTCAAGCTAATGACAGAAAGGATTAAGAGTAATCAATTGCATAAATTAGCTAGAGAAGAAAAAGATGTTTTAAAAGAACAAGTCTCTACACTGACAACACAAGTTGAAGCTGCGAATGTTGTTGTTCGTAAGCTAGAAGAAAAAGAACGTCTCTTACAGAACTCACTCGCTACGGTTGAAAAAGAATTAGCTTTGAGGCAGCAAGCAATGGAAATGCATAAGAGGAAAGCTATAGAAAGTGCTCAGTCAGCAGCTGATTTAAAACTTCATTTAGGTAAGGGATTTATTTATAAATTAATTTGTTCCTTCTGAAAATATTTCTTTCGTTTAGAAAAATACCATTCACAAATGAAGGAAGCACAGCAAGTTGTAGCTGAAAAGACTAGTTCCTTGGAAGCAGAAGCGTATAAAACAAAAAGACTACAGGTAAGCTTTAAGAGTTTTCAAGTGAATGAATAAATTAATAATGATTATTGTTATATTTTTTGTAGGAAGAGATAGCTCAGTTAAGACGTAAAGTTGAAAGAATGAAGAAAATAGAACTAGCTGAAACTTTAGACGAAGTAATGGCTGAAGAATTACGGGAGTATAAAGAAACGCTCACCTGTCCGTCTTGCAAAGTGAAACGTAAAGATGCAGTTTTAACCAAGTGTTTTCACGTATTCTGTTGGGATTGTTTGCGTACGCGGTACGAGACTAGGCAGCGAAAATGTCCAAAATGTAATTGCGCTTTTGGAGCTAACGATTATCATCGTTTATACCTCTCCACATGAAAAAGAAAACTTTAAATTATTGACATTCGTGTGGTACCTCTTAACTTTGTGAATCTTTCTTAAAATTATAATGTGCATGTTTCTTGTTCCTTCTATTTATTATTCTGATCATTGGTAAACGAGAAACGCAATTGCACATTATCCTACGAAAAGAAAGATGTACGTTTGTAAAAATTTCTATCATTTCGTCGAATGTAATATAAAAAAGGATATTGCATTTTTAAAACATATTGTAGTAATTGCAATGAATTTACTGATATGCACAAATTACTACATTTTTATAACGTTTTGATCTCACACGCAAAGGGATAAAGTTAAATTTTGTGAAAAAGCGCAATGGATAGAATATTAAAATAATTAACTGTATTATAATTTTATTTAGTCTTAAAATTCGGCTCGAATATAATTTAGTTACGAAATTGAAACTTGAATTGAGAAGTCGGCTGAATTTTAAGAGTAATTTGAAGTAATAGGGACATTGTAATATATTATAAATAGAAATTAAAAAATATTTACTATAGAATTGAAGGTATCGTAATTATTATAAACACGCAGAAAATACTTATTTGATAAAAATTACTTCATATAAATTTTTTTTTTTGAAATGATTGAAATGTTAGAAAATATATTAGGAAAAAAATTATAACGTAATTATTAGATGTAATTAATTTATTATAATAGAAACGTACTAAGTGCATAAAATAGGGAAATATTTGATTTAGAAACCTCCTTTAACTATAATGTTCTTTTATATTATACCTAGTATAATTTAACTCTTTTTCTACACTTTTTCTTAATAAATATTTCAGTTCTTTTACGAAATTAGGGAAACATGAAGATGTTTCTAGGATATTTACACAATATAATATGTATATGTGAATGTCGATTTGAATAGAAAGATTGATTGTAAAAATAATCATAATCATCGTTCATTGATGTAATTTTCAATATTTTGTAATAAAGATCAACAAATGTATTATTGAATTAAAGCATAAATAGAATATAGATTTCAAATCATATTTTTAATGATTCATAATTGATTGTACTACGTTTTTAAAAGAGATTAACAATAACTATGTGAAGCTATAGAGTAAAGGATATCTCCTTCCTGACTTAAAACAAAGTTTTATTAAATCTCTTTTATTATTAAATTATTAAATGAAAATTTAATTGCCTAGTCGAACTAACGTGGCAGCTATTTATAAATAACATTTTGTTTGCAATTTTGTAAACCGTCTGATATACATATATTTATTGCAATATAACAATAATACAATAGATTCGATATTGTAAATTTATTTATCTGAAGCGACGGACCTAATGTCCTTTTACAGAGTTTAATTATTATTAATATTATTATCGACATTTATTAGTAAATAAATCATCTATATACCTTATTAAAAGATGCTCGCTATCGTTAAGGGCAATCGAAAATTTTTGATACATTTTTCACTTCACAAAATATCACGAACAATTTTATTATATTCAAGTTTATTCAATAAAAAGCATATAGTACGTACGTGTATCTACGTATACGTAATGTGTATATATACACGTAAAAGTTTCTTTGTGTAAATACGAATGGAGGACAAATATATTATTATATTATAATAGTTTTCTGACAGTAGTGCTAATTATGTAATAATAAAAATTTTAGTCAAGTTTGTATCTATAACGTAAGATGCATGAATAGATTTACATAAAATTTTATATGAAATTGAAGCTAATTAATTTGTACATAACTACTCTTTTTTAATTATATAAACATTATACAAATTTAGTTTTGGTGTTTAGCAAATTCTGATAAAAATAATAAAGCTTATGAAAAACATTATGGATCGTTTGTTCGGAATATTAAATATTTGTATAAAAATTGTTTTCCTTAAATAATTTTCAATCACAAAATAAGTATAAAGTCTGAAAGAAAAAAAGTATAAATAACGTTAAGAAGAAATAGGTAATCATAAATCTACCATCTTCTATTTTCAATGTATATAAAATGAGAAAGAAACATATTTATTCCTAATCTTTCCTTAGTACTACATAACAAACACTATCAATTAGATCGAATATATATTAGGTGTAGGAATTAATTCGGTGCCTTTTCTTTTTTTAACTGACCATTTATTTTCAAAAGCTTATAGAAACGCTAACTGTCAAATAATCATATTCTCGCGCTACTTTTCATATCGAAAGAAGTGCCCGAAAATATTCAAATTTAAAGTAGCAATGAAGGTGTGATGCTAAAGGCGCCAAATTAATTTGTGCAGTACCGAGCATGGCGGGCTTATTCTTTTCGTTCTACTAAATTTCATATTTAATAATTGAAAATTATATTACTCTTTTTTTTACTAAATCATTTTTAATATTAATATCGTCAAAATTAAGATTTTGAGCATTCCTACTTCCCCTGTAATGCCATTTTCCCTACGGAAACCTACTTTGCTCGATCCCGTACATCTAATATATTACTACGAATTATTAAAAAATTATATACATATTAAACAACAACGAGTGGATACAAGAAGTTCCTCAGTGTCATGTGTTCTCGGGCCTTCTTTCTCTTTTAACAGTTTAAAAAACATGAAATGCTTGAAGAAGGACACTTTGTTAATGTTTAACTGATCATTTTTTTTATTGGTGAAAAAGCTTTTGTTAACCAATCGATTACATTCACTTTACACAACAAATATGTAGTTTCGCAAAGTCAACCGTTCATCGACAGGGTGTATTCGGCGTGTAATTTTACTGATGATAATTCGCATCTTTCATAATCGTATCTATATATGAGTCTCTTTCTCTCTTAATGTCCTTGTGTCTGAGTGCGTATCTATTTTACGCGCGAGATTCTTTTGTAAATGTCAAACTGTCGCGCGCCTCTGGTGCATTAATGAATGCATGCGTGCATGCGTGCGTGCGTGCGTGCGTGCGTGCATGTATGTTGTGTATATGCAAAAAATTCTTTTCGTCGCTTCGTTCTCCCGTTTGTACGGGATCGTTGATATTACCAAAAAGAAAAATAAAACAACGAAAAATTGACCGTCAATGGTCAATCTGAATCATGTCTCGATGCGTATACATATATATGTATATATTACCCTTATAAAATCATATACATATACGAATGACAATTGATTTTACATTCAATATACAAGTTTGAAATTTCTCTTACTATATTGTAAAAAAATGTAAAATATAAAAACTGTCTTTAGAGCAGTATTAAAAAAATGTTTTGAATAAGCAAAGCTTCAATTCCAAGTAAAAAGAATCAAAGGGTTTACAATAGAAGAGGCAATTCTAGTTTCAGTAATTTGCACTATGCCTCAATTAAATTCTATTGATTTAAAAATTTTACAATATAAAAACTTAATGCTATTAGTTTTAAAGCGGGACCATTTCATTTTATTCCTTTTCAAGATATTGGAATAATTCTAATTAAAATTGAAAAAATTTATGGAAAGATGTATTAGTCTCATTCTTGCTGTAAAATGATCAATTGCATACATACATATATATATATTTATACGTCTATATACATATATATTGACCGACGTGGAAATTCTATAAGTATGAACGAGCTATAACAAGAAAAGCCACAAATGGCGATTAATACATGAGCAGAGAAGATATTACGTTGGTAGAGCTACAGACAAAAAATGAAAGAATAAAATCACTTAGCAATGAATGCAAGTATCCCTTTTTCTTAACGTAGCAATTGTGTTTAGGAATATTTCATAACATTCCTGTATATCTTGTGATACATTTAAAACATAATTGTGTTGTTAAAAAACGGTATACGTACACACGTTTATATTATACGTTATATAAATATATAAACACAGTTGTATTTATATATTCATATACATATAACTATCATAAAATTGTCTGCAGTTTTTTCCTTCCATTCGTGTAATTTCATAATTGACTAAATTTTATATTATGTGATATTAGCTAGAAACGAGATTTGTGCGTACACAATCCCTATAAATGCGCACACGCGTTATAACGCATGTATCATTTAATATATTCAATTATATATTACATAATATCTAGTATTATATAATATATAATATGATTCCTCCTTATAACGAGTATTTTATTTACAAAATCAATACCTCCCTTATAACGAGATTCAAATTTTTCACTACCTATTCGCTATCACCTACAAAATATTTTATTCAGTCCTCCAAACGATATTTCTACTGTATTTTCCATATGATTTTTCGGGACATTTACCTCGAAAGACCAAACTGTATTCATATTTATGTCTAAAAAAACAAAAGTTTCCTCCAATGGAAAGTCTAGAGAGCGTATATTTTCTTTTCTAACATTTTAATTTTGACTCCTTCCTTCTCATTTAGCTAAGCTTGAAACTTCTTTATAGAATAATAAAACATTCATTTTTAATTTCAATTTTTCATCAAATAATTTGATATGCTCATGGTTCATACTTGTAACGAAGTGAAACATCAAGGAGAGTACAAGTATCCAATCCATTTGCATAAGAAAAATAACTGTAAGAAAAAAAGATATTAAATAACTTCACAGCAATTCTTTTTTCCCTTTTATAATAAATTATTAAATCCATACACATATTTCATAATAAAGTTTCATTAATAGACTATTAAAAGCATTCTGTGGACTTACTTGAATTCAAGAGTTATTTTTATCATTGAATAATTGCATTTCTCACAAAAGTCTTGCATCAAATTATCCTCTTACGTGCTACCGAGGCAATATTAACAACCTATCATGTCTTTCTCGTTATTCAAAAAGGCTTTGGTGAAGTCCAAAAGCGAAATATTTATAAATATGTACCTACGCGCTACGGTATATGCACAAATTAAGTCGCCCAATTGTGTGTATGTGTGGTGTATGTTAGCTGTTCTTTCCAATAATAAGCAGCACCATTCCTGAAGAAACGGTGCTATTGCTCGGGAATAATTACGAGCAATCACTAAATGAATAGAACTTGTACAGGTCGTTCCTACGTGTATCAATGTAGATAGGTAATTCATTGAATTCACTGCATTTAAAAAGAATTTTAATACCGATCCTTGGATCTTTTACTCTCTTCCCTGTCAAATATTTTATATTATACTTATAATGATGATAATAATGTTCCAATTCCACAGCAATATTAATTGGTGAGACCTATTCATAGGAATCGAATAATAGGCTAAATTACAATACAATTCTTTTAAAATTACGAATATTACTGTTGAATAGCATTATTACCGATCGCTTCTCTCGACAACCAGATAAATCGTTCAATATTTTTCCACTATTTACAAATCATTAATTTTACACACATGTTCATTTATATCTCACCATAGTCACTTCAGGATGCCACTGGAATTCTGATGAAACATAAACAGACATAACACCGGCACAAATAAAAATATCTAATTTGTTTGCATTAGGTCGATCGATATATACCGTAAAAATACCAATGTTTCACTCACGATATCGTCAAGACCAAAACAAGGACATATACCTTCCACCTTTGCATCAAACAACAATACTAAGTTATTTTATATAACTATCATAACGTTTTTGTTTTTTTTTTTTTTTTTTTGATATTCAAGAATGGGGAGATCATCCTGTCTTTGTGATTTTCAATAGCATCATCCTGGAAACACTAATGAACAAATCACTTCTCTCCATATGAATAACTTCTTTACACTTGTTGCACGAGTTGAGCAGTTCCATGAGTATTTCACTATATAACACGTGGGAATCAACACACTCATATTTATGAGTCATCATTCTCCTGAATTAGATTCATCGTAATGAGAAAATTTCAGGAAAACTTGTTCCAGAGTTGTTTGACTGAAGCTGTACTCTTCGATGTCCAACTCAAGCTTGGCTGAAAATAAAATTGAAAATTGAAAAAGTAATGAGAACGTTTATAATTTTATATTTACCTTTCTCCAACTGCATAAAACACTCGGCCAGCGAGTTAACTGCATGCTGGGGAACAGCGAAAACTAATCTGTCGGCGAAACTTTCTTCCAGAGTAGCATCTGGAAATAGACTAGAAACGAACTCTTTCAAAGTTGTAATCCTATCACCAGAAGGTGTCGTGGGTGTGCAGTCACCCCCTAAAAGTTTCATCTCGAGGGTGTATCCAGCGCCGTAGAGATTTTTCAAGTGTTGCGTGGAACCGATACACCTCAGTTCTCCTTTCACCATTATACCGACTCTAGAGCACAAAGCATCAGCTTCCTCCATTGAATGAGTAGTTAAAATCGCTCCTCTACCGCCCTATTAAAGATAAATTTATTATTGAAGATAATGTTTCTTCTGACAGATAGATTTATTCCGGAACACACCTGAAAACTAGCAAGAATGGTATCCCATAAAAACCGTTTTGATCTTGGATCCATTCCTGTGCTAGGTTCATCCATCAAAACAACCTTCGGACCTCCTATCATTGCCATAGCAAAACTAAGTTTTCTTCTGGTTCCACCTGAACATTCTTGAGTTTGTTTGTCGGCATGTTCATGAATTTGGAGACCAGTGAGATACAAATCCACAATGCTATATAAAATTAAATTCATTTATATTCGTAAGTTCTTTCAGAATATGTTAAATCAGGGGTGGGCAATTGTTTTGGCTCGGGGGCCACTTTGTGCAAGCGGAGGTTGGCGGAGGGTCGCACCTTTTAAAATGATTGCATTCATTAGTTAACTTTGCATAATAATCAATAAATATAAATTAAATAAAATAGTGGCAGTTTTATTCAATTTATTTAAATACGAGACGAAATCTCGGTTCAAGGCGGATTTTTCTGTCTTGGCGGACCAGAAAAAAGCTCATAGCGGGCCGCTATTTGCCCACCCCTGTGTTAAATAATTAAATTACCTGTCGATGTCTCCCCACGGAACACCACGAATCGCAGCGTAGCATTCTAAATGCTCTCTAACAGTAATATTCTTCCACTGAGCATCGTGTTGAGGACAATATCCCATTTGTCTAAAAGCTTCTGCCATATTAGAATTGATATTGTGCCCACCGATCTGTACTCTCCCTCGGGTAGCTGCTTCCTCAGCTATGACGATCTTCATAGTCGTTGTTTTACCAGCACCATTGTGACCTAGTAAACCGAATACTTCTCCAGGTTCAACCGCTAAGGACAAATTTCTGACAGCGACTTTTCGTTGTATCTGACTGCTGGCTTCTTCGTCTTGCTTATAGCAACAACTGCAGGACCCAGTATCCCTTTGACGATACTCTTTCCTCAAGTTCTATCAATGCATAATCATAGTTTAAGATGCAATTCTTATGGAAAATAAACAGAATAAAATCCAGTGCAGGTAATACCTGTACTAAAACTACAGGTGGTTCTTGAACAGACGATGAAGTGATAAGATCAAAGACTTTTTGTCTTTCAGCCTTAACATCTGCATCCTCGTGCTCTCCAACGTCAGAATTCTCCATGATTTCTTCGCCGACAGAACCACCGTTACGCTATAAATATAAAGTACACTTTTAATATAAAATATATATATTTTATATTCCAGGGTGTTCGACAATAGGTGGGCAAAATTTTAAGGGGTGATTCTAGGGATCAAAATAAGACGAAAATCAAGAATAACGAAATAGCGTTTGCGGCTTTGTTTTCCAGTAATTAACGTTTAAAAGTTCGAGTAAAAAGCGCCTGAAACCTGCAATCCGCCCTGCACCGACGACTGAACGTCAGGTCAACAGGGGTCGGTACAGTCATAACCAAGAATCGAAGCCGAATGTTGCAGTTAAGTTTCTACTATTCAACTATTCTTGGTTATAACTGTACCGACCCCTGCTGACCTGACATTCAGTCGTCGGTGCTGGCCGGATTGCAGGTTTCAGGCGTTTTTTACTCGAATTTTAAACAAAGCCGCAAATGCTATTTCGTTATTCTTGATTTTCGTCTTATTTTGATCTCTAGAATCACTCCTTAAAATTTTGCCCACCTGTTGTCGAACACCTTGTATATTGTGTTACTAACCAGAAAGTGTTTGAAAATGTCGCCAACATTGCCACCGCTTTTTTTAATGTCTAAAATGAGAAGCACAAAGAACCACATTGGACAGTGGAGAAGCACGCCGAAGGCCATTAAAATAATCTCTGTAGTTAAATAATCAGACATGGTGAGATGATGGCAAGCAGCATTGATAGAGCACATCAAGTGAACTCTTCCTACATAATATACTGCTGCATACGGTACATATAATGTGTTCAATAAAGAAAAGATTACGTGTAAAACGAATGCTGCTGTTCCACCTGAAAATGATATTCCACGTTAGATACTTAAATCATAATTAACACGTTGAACGCCATGGGGGTCGTCAGTGGTCGGCTCCGCAATTTACACACGCCTGATTAATTAAAAGAAAACGATAGAAAAACATTATTTTAAGTAATATTGCTATGGTACAAATAATGTGAAATGACAAGTAGAAAGCTTGAAATTTGAAAATTAATTATTACTATTCTTAGTAATTAGTTATTTAATACATCTCACAAAAAATGCCCAATTTCACTGCGGCGTTCAACGTGTTAAGAGTATATTATAATTGACTGAAACTCACTGAGACCCAGCATATCCAGAACAGTGACTAGTATAAACGGTATGAGCCCAAAGAACGTTGCTATATTGGGCAAGATACTTTGAGCAGAATCCATCTTGTCGAAGATATAACTTAAACACGTTGAGAATAGAATAGAGGACGGGCAATAGAGCATTAGGAGACCGCCGAGGGTAATGAGTGCTGGTACTTCTTGAAGAGAAGGCACATCGAAGAGAAATATAATGCCAAGAATACATAAACAGATGAACGTCATCAGGCCGACAAGCACGATAAAGTACGTCAGGAAGTACATAGAAAACGACAGACCATTGACACGAAGTTGATTTTTCGCTTTTATCTAAAGGCATATAAAAACATGGTTACTTGTGTATCATAGAAATAAAATTTAATGAAAAAAGAAATCTTACCTCGCGATCGTAGACCATATCCACAACTAATGTTATCGGTAACAAGACGAAATTCATTCCGATGGATACAGCTGAACTCGCTGTACCAATATTAAATTCCTGTGGTTGCGATGTCTGTTGAAAAGGATGCGTTTTGACTTCAATTGTTTTCAAATTTTCTTTACCCGAGACCAACCTAATCGAACAGACAAGTTTATACAACAATTACATTGATTTTGAATATTTCTTTTTGTACTATTCAAGGTACCTGTAGTAAGTGTTGGATAGAAGGTTGAACAATATCGGTAGAGAATGTTGCATAGTGTCGTTATAAGCGATTGTTAAATCAATCTTTGGTAAATTATACTCGGTAACATTAATAGCAGCTATATGCGGTGCAATCTTCAACAAATTCGCGAAATTTCCATAGTATTCCTCGATATATTTTACATCCTGACTAATTCCATTGATCAAGTCTGTAATATCACGATCGGTATTGTTTGCGTATAAAATTTTGGTCTCGTTGCCGTAGGTATCTATCGAAAATACAGGTTGAAATTATTATAAAGATTTATAAAATTTAATTTCTTTACCACTAGGTTTATTTCGGACTTCATTTATGCAATCCTATCAAATTTATTTAACTTATACTGAGTCTGTTAAGATCGTAATTGTTTTCAAATTAAATTAATCATTTTTTATTGAAGAAAATACGTGGTCTTCTTTACTCGTCAATCTGACGGGTGTCCGTAAAGATAGGTATACAAAAATGTCCGTAAACCTAGCGTTAATAAGTATAACATACCTGTATCTAGTTTTAATGACTGCATTTTCACCTCGACTGTCTGAATGCTATTTAAATGGAGGCCAAGAACTACCAAAAAAAGAGGCGCGACAATAGTGAAGTACAGTAGCTGGATGTTCCTAACGAGTCTGAGTATCCTTAGGCGAAGCATAGCGTACAAGGTTTGAACGAAATTAGGCCTAATTTTGATGGGGTCTAATCCAAGGCCGCGAACAGGAGGGTTTCTATCACTGTGAACGCCGTCTGGTAAATCCCCTGCACCTAAAGTACAATATAGTAATGAAATTCGAGCTTAACGAACGCAATGACACTTCATAAACATTAATGTACCTTTCGCTTGGCTATCGTTGTTAACAGTGGTACCTTCGTTCTGTAAACTCTGATAAAACGTGCTTTTTGATTGCAGAGATAACGACCTGCTCAATGCACGATTACGCACCATTTTCTTTGACAAATTATCCATAGTGCATTCTGTACCCTCGTCTCTTTCCAAATGCAGAAATACCTCTTCTAAGGTGGTCATCGAGACCCCATAACTGCTGATACCTAATCTGCTTGATCGAGTCTTAATTTCTTGTTCGATGGCTGAAAAAAGTGGTGCAAAATTTTCTACAGAATTGTGAGGTAAAATGAAGCTTAGTTCGCGACCATGGCGCCTTGCCTTTTCTGCCTTCGACACGTGAGACGTTACCAGTCTGGTAATTGCATGTTCTCTTGCATTCCCTTCGAGTACCAACGTTAAATGATATCCAATGCCGAATTTGTTTTTTAAGAACAGAGAACTGCCGCAACATCTCAATCTTCCTTTACTAATAACCGCTTTCCTATCCGCTAATATATCAGCTTCATCCATAAAATGGGTTGTTAATAAAATCACTTTTCCATGACGCCTCGATTGTAAGAAGGACCACATTTGCCTTCTGGAGTAGGGATCCACTCCAGCTGTTGGTTCATCAAGGATAATGATTTTTGGATCGCCGATGATGGCAATACCTACGGACAGCTTTCTTTTTTGACCTCCGCTTAAGTATTTTGCAAAGGTATCTGCGTTTTCAGTTAAATCAATGTCTTTCAAGGTTTTCTTCACCTAAAAATAAAGACGGAGTGATATAACACCTGCGACAAATTTTATGCGAAATACATAGCAACTGAAATACGTACTTCGTGTTCGATCATTGATTTTGGAATACCGCGCACAGCGGCGAAGAACTCCAGGTGTTCTCGAGGCGTTAGAAGATCAAAAAGAATATCATGTTGAGGACAAACGCCGGTCATGCTTCTTATCATTTGCATATCATTGGAATCTCTAACGTCATAGCCGAAAATCAAGGCTGTGCCGGCGGTAGGCGCAGTCAGGCCAGTCAATATATTGAACAAACTTGTTTTACCAGCCCCGTTATGACCGAGTATTGCCGTGATTTGCCCCTCATAGATCGTTAAATTGATACCGTTCACAGCTTTGATCTCAGATTTACGACACTTCTGATACGACTTGTAAAGATCAACTATTCTAATCGCTTCGCGTCCTTTCATCTCTCGCACTACCGGTTCAATGTCACGGTTCGTCTCTTCTCCAGGTATAAAAGAATTTGACTCGCCGTTTGACGATGGTACCTGCAAGTACGACTGTGAATACATTTTTTTCTACTTTTCTTATAATATACAGATTGTTTTATATTAATGTTTTATTACACCCACTCGCGGAGCTTTCCTCTGGCACCAAAATCCGGGGGTGAAACAAAACCAGGGAGTTCGTTTCGTTCCGTATTCACCTAAGACAAATTATTTATTTTTTATTCAGTTATTCCTAGAAAATTTAAGGAACTTGGAGAACATACTTGGAATGACGGAATCAAAATAGTAAGCTAACAAGGCATATAGAAAAATATCCAAAGTCATCATGATGAGACTGCCCCCGAAAGGAATACCTGGACCAGACCAAAGATTTTCAAAATTAACCCCTTCTCCTTGCAAGTCTAACACAAGAGCCTAGAATAATAAATAGAAATGTTTAATTCTTAATTAATAATTTTATTATTTTTTCTGCGAATACAAACCTTATCCATCGCTAAAGCAACGCCTGTTGGACTAAGGAGGGAAACCACCCAGAAAGAGATCGAACTAGAATCTTTGACAAAAACCTGGATAAAATACATCAAGCTGAATATCGTAACTGCAAAGTTACCGAGTACACCAGCAGTCTGAAAGCAAGTAAATACACTTAATAATAGTACTTCAGAGTGCCGTAACGAGGGTATGAAACGCCTGTGGCAAGTGTCTAACTTGCGCCTCCCCGTAATCCAATAATGACAAAAGAAATTAAAAATTTTAATGTAACAAGCTAAATTTTTACTAAATATACAGTTGCGCCCGGGGCGGCACGGCCTCATTGCGGCACTAGTACTTCATAATGATTAACGAAATACTCACTCGTGATTTATCGAAGAAAGGTGTTATCATAAACGCAAACATGATTATGGAGAAGCTGTAGAGTACTACCAAAAGGAATATTGGTAAAAAGTGTGTATGTTGGAACATTTGTAGAGTAAAAAGTAGTATCACCCCAACAGCAGAGAGTAATAAGACAAAGACGCTGTAGATAATGAACCATGATACCCTAAAATAAAAAAGAAACAGATTTCTCGTTAATAACAAAAGTCTGGGCAAATATATTTGCAATTTTTTCCCTAACTAAATATGTATAATCTTCCTATTTAAACATGCACTGATCATTGAAATAAAATAAACTAATACTAATCTCTAAACTGTACTACTGCATAAGTGCAAACCTACCAGAAGATAGAATCTTTCAGGCCCATTATCTTCATTCCTTCCTTGATTTTTTTCTCCTTTTCACCGACTATCAGGATCAGAAGGTAAGTGACGAATTGTGAAAGAGCCAGAACCATAAATAGAGGTATAACAACTCTAAAGGCCAGCATCCAGTCTAAATAAAAAATATCCTTAGAAATATGCCCACAAAAGAAAAATATACATTAAGTGTAAATTTAACTCCTAAATCAAACGCATCTTTATTTTTCTATAATAGTCTACTATGATGCTAACGTTAGTTTGTGTAACGTGCATAACTACATAGAGAGATATTTAAAAGAGATCATATCATTCATAACAATTATGGATTATTCCAAATTTTTACCTGCAGTGAAAGCTTCCTTAGGAAACATTTCAAGTTTAATATCTGGCACGGTTACATCGTTATTCCCTGTATCTAGCTACAAATTAATAGGAAACAATATTAGTAAAGAAAAAAGATTCTTTGTCGTTACGGTTTCAATGGAATGAGATCTTCAAGACATACTCTTATTTTCGTGGTATCCATTATCATTTGCAACGCCAGGAAACCAGAATGCAAATAACTATTTGCAGGACACGATCCACCGGTTTCTATCGACAATACTCCACCCATCCAATGGCTTGTGTCTTTCCGACAAGTAACTGGAGCGGAATACAATTCAGTCGGCGAAGGCGGATTTGTGTATGAAGGATTGGTTCTTATCTCATACCTAGATAACAGAGAAATTTGTACTAGATACCTAGATGATAGAGAGAAACTCTCAACAAAATAATATTCTACCGAGCATTCAAATTATCTTACAGAAGATGCTGAGATATAGGCTGAGAATCTTCAAAGATTACTGCTAAGTGTACACTGTAGGGATCTCTCCAATATGCTGCTTGTAGATCATCCTTTGTATCAAACACCATGAAATTCAAGGGAAGCTTGCCAGGGTAATCCCACATTGATAGCCAAAGGGTATTCATTGAATTCAAAAAATTCTATAACATAAATGATACTTTATAGAAAACATTCTATTAGTTGAACTAGTTGAATACGTACCAAGGTCTCTGTTGAGTTTGGTACAACAGCTATGGTGTTGTTTTTGTAACCATTGAATGTTTCGAATATGCCTCCTTCTTGTCTCTGGGTTGTCATCGCAGGATAATTTGGATTTGGTGGTAACACTTTTACCACAATCAAAACACCTAGGATACAAAGGGGTAGAAAAATCTCCTGTAAACAGTAAAATTGAAAAATATATTTTTAATACTGTTTACAAAACATATAGTAGAATCAGATAGCAGAATATTTTCAATTCTATACATAAATTTATCTTCTAACTGTAACATTTGTTAGAATAGTTCCCGCCATTGATATTTAATAATGCATACGTTCAAAATCATACATATTGATTTCTATTCAAAAGTAGTACTTAACAAAAAAAAAAAAGAGCCACCCTCGTGCTTGCATAATAATTATTCGACCTGCACCCTCTCCCACACCTGTCGTCCAAGTAAACCTGCGCAAGCGTTCGATACAACCCTCCCTTTGCTGGAAAAATATATATGCCGATTCGCTTTCATACTCGGTCACCATGGCGATCAACAACGGATCAGACTGATCCGATTCGTTAGGACGATTGTTCTCAACCCTTTAAGGACGGACGATTTAGGTTCTTCAAGAAATTTTCATCAAGATTTCTCCAGAATGTCCATGCATTGGATAACAATTTGTTTTGTTTAAAAAATAAAAAAAGTGAGATATGTAATTCCTGCAGAGATTCATATATTCATGTAAAATCCGGACTTTCAGAGCGGCTACAAAAGGGGCAAACCGATGTCTTTTTACGTGGATATCGTTACAGAAGATTCTTTCTATGAAAACCTCACGTTGGGCGTGGTAAAGATTCTGGAAAGTCTGGCGTATATAAAAAATGTACGGATCGACAGAAGAAACGGATGTGAAAGCACGACTATCACCAACTGGGAGCAACGACATTGTTGTGTCCTCCCAGAGGATGTTAAGAACTTTTACGTCTCGATCGACGGCTTCTTGCTTCAGTGGAACCTCGAGATAGCAGGTAACCCCTTTGGAGAATTATCCACACATTTCCAAGATACTCTTTGCCAACTTTCATCCACGACCCAGTATTATTAACGTTACTTCGTATCTCCATCTTCTCCCTTCCAATAGCGTTGCATCTTTTCATCGAGAATAATAAGAAGATTTTGTATTCAAGATCTAAAATTTATAAATACTAAAGTATAAATTGTTTCTGTATTAACATAAATTTTTATAAATGTCCATTTCTTCTAGGCGAAGAATTTCCCATAGGACGCATGGAGATCGGTTCGTTCTCTTCTCTGAAACGATACACGAACAACACCGGCAAACGAGAGGAATCTTCCTCCTCCATTTCCGTCGATTCTGACAAGTTAGAAGCAGAGGCCATTTCCGATAACACGTCTGACGTCGATAGCATCCTTGTCCTCCTCCAAGGAAATGGTGCACATAATTGCAAGATGTTTGAAATCGCGCAATGTTTCCCAGAAAGCAGCAAGGCCAAGGTCTATTTAGTCTACCGGATGAAACAGGAACAAGAAGCGCCCAGCGTATGGTTGCACAGAGAAGAAGCGAATAGGTGGTACCATTTGGCTGACAGTTTCACCGTGTATTTTCGCATGATGCTTGTTCATCTTGGCTTGCCGTTGTGGCAAAGCTGTGTGTCAGGCGTGTCTCTGCCAACGTGGGTCGAACAGGTGTACTTTCTTGTCGCTCCTCATTTACTACCATCCGTCGTCGAACCCACGGAAACAATTTCCACCTCCATATGGAACATGGGACCCACCAACGTTATCGATCCGACGATTTTCAAGGCGAAGGAGGGTAAACAGAAATGCTCCAGAAAGAAATAATTCTTCTGGATCCTTGTAATTTTTCTAATTATTGTGATTATCCTTCAAGGTGTATTCGTAATCCATAACTTGTAAACAAATGATAGAATCAACTTTAAAGCAATAAAATTAAAATACCTCTAAAGACAGTAGCATTTTGGCAAAACGCCATGGTATCATATGCATTAAAAAGTATATACTAAAACAATTTGCATGAAACTATTTATCAATTTAACTTCTCCTTTATATTATCAATAGTTTGAAAGATCTTAGACTATCCTCTTCAATTTAAATGTCCTTTCCAAATCCCCAAATGTCCTTATTCGAGGAAAACAACGAAAACGAATAATCTTCAGCTCGATCGTCGGTGCTAGCAACTGTGCAGCTTCGGTGAGCAAGTTTATTTTAAGATCACCAACGAGGGAAATCATTTTGATGTTATCCTTGGTCAAGCGTATCGACAACGAATGAAGAATCGCCATTGCGTTACTCTGAGGAAAAGAAAAAAAGAAACTTGGTGAAAACAAAAAGATTCTATACGTTTGTCCACGACGACCCTTGGCCCAGTTGGCACAAAGATCACGCAAAAACACCGACCAAACGAATTGGCAATACGCCCTCCAGTTTGGCAGTCGTGGACACCCACGAAACGCAGTCAGTTCGTCGCCATCCGTGGAAACTAACCACGGAGGATCTTCCTCTTCGTCTTCCACGCTCTCGTGAATTTGCCTTGCAGTATACTGGCATCGGACGTGCATATTTTTCCTTCTTTTTTCTCCTTTCCTCTTCTAACGAATACTCCGTTTATTCTGAAGTCTCTTACTGATCCATAGAAACGTCCCACTGATATATATGTTCAATAGGTTTCATTTTTTAATTACTATTAGTTTGAATTTAAGAATCAAGTTGGGATTTTTATAACAACTTTCTCAGAAATGTGTGGAAATTATTAAGTCTCTCGTCTTTGAAACATTACATATTATAAGAATAGCTTGGTATTCAAAGGTAAAGGGTGAACCTTTGATAAGTTAATTACTATATGCTATATGGAACGACTTGTTTCATTTAAAATTTTTAAAAGTTCAAATCACTCTAATGTTAATGCTAAATCTACTGTTCACGTACAATCATAGGGCAAAAATTTATCAAATTTTGCAAGGACTTGTTTAGATAAAGGATTGATCGTAGAGAAGAGGGGGAAGGCATAACTAAATATAGCTCGTTAGAGGCGGAGAAAATCGATTTATACATAAAATAAGTATTCCCCTGTCTATACTTAGTACTGCCCTCCTACCGCGAGCTAACTCAATTAAGATTCTACTCTCCTACCATAAAACTTCGCTGTTGGTGAACGGAGAAAAATAAAAATACACTTGCACCAACGCGTGTGGTGATATGCTCTCCTGCATAGCGCAAGCGAAACCCTAATTTTTATATTTCTTATCAGAGAGACTTTCAGCGACCGCTAAGGGGTAATTAAATGAAAAACGTTAAGATGAACGGTAGAAGCTTTTCTAAAACTGTTCTTTTTCCCTGTTTCTCCAGCTACAAGGAGCGGTCCATTCGATTTCCTTGTCATCTAGTTGGTTAAACTCCAAGGAAAAGCTGATTCTTTGAGGCTGGGTGCTTGTGAGTTAATGAGCTTTAAGAAAGCTAATAATGAACATCTCACGTACCGCTGTAGTCTTTCGCTTGTCGCGCTTCTTCAGCAGAAGATTCCTCACGAGCATCGCTCGCAGCTGAGACAAGTAGACCCCGCACAAATCCATCCTGCGAGATGCACTCGTTCTCCTCTTGATTTCTGTAACACGAAACGAGGAAATCAATTAATATCAAAATAATAATAAATCTTATTAAAAATTCAAATCTTCCTGCCGTTAACTCCAAAGTTTCTTTGCATTATTTACACAAATGATTCTAAAGTGAATTACAACAATTTATGGTTCTTCTTTGTAGTAACTTGTCAGACAAGTGTTATTTAAAAATAATATCAACAGTATCGACGAATTCATCCAGGGAAAACATTCTTATCGATTAACATCCCAGTTGCGCAGAGTTTCGCCGATGATTGGCCCCTCTCTGGCCGTGACGAAAGTTTTCCCTTCGATGCGAACTCCGATGTGTTCAGAAACGAAGTCGCGGCTCTCTAACGTAGAGAAACGATCGCGATGTGGTCGATAATTCGTCGTTTGCACTATTTAAGCATTCGCGCGTGTAACAGCGAGCAATATGCCAGTGAATATGTCAAGGCCTTCGAACAGTTCCTTCTGATAGCTTACAAAAAAGTATGTAAAAAGAAATATATATATATATATGTAATAAACAATATCCACGGTAGCGCGTGTTATGTTGTACCCATTGGATGATGAACTACATACATGGTCATATTAATTGTTTAGATGATCTTAGATTACGTTTATAGTTTTGAAAATTGAATAAAATTATACGATTATAAAGAAATGGTATGGAACTCTTTACTAGCTGTAAAATAAGCAAAACTTCTCGAATCAATTAGGCTAATTAACACTGAATTATATCATCGGTGATAATCAAAAGACTATTTGAATCTGATTGCTAGAAGCATCCGCTAGGAAGCAAGTTTATATACCTAAGCGGAGTGCTTGTGTAAACGATCATATTTGCTGAAAAGCTGAATATCCCGAGATTTCGAAAATTTGGAGCAAAGGTTCAAGGAATAGCCGATTGAATTTTAACGAGAATATAAAGAAAAAATATTTTTCAACCTTCGCAATCGATAATACTATTTGTATGACAATGAGAACGCAATCGATGAAAATTCATTGCACATTTTTTTTTCTCTTTTGTATCATTGCATCATCTTGCTTGCAGGATTATTGCATAACATTGACTTCACTCTACGTGAGAAATAAAACAATGCTTTTTAATTGTACCAGGAAGCGTCGAGAGTTCTTCTTTCAATTACCATTGTGGACCAAATTACTTTTCCGATATACTATGCATGAAATTAGTCTGATAAGAAATATATGAAATTCATTTTTTTCGCTGACGATTAACAAAAGTAATTAATTGTACGATGAAACACAGACACAGGTATTTACGGTATCGAACAAGCATAACACAGGTTTCGCAGAATTTCAGTCGTAAAATAGGTAGCACAGGGGAGTTAACGCTAAAACTAATAACCAATGTATCGACTAAAATCTAATTTAACCGAAGGTTAACATCGATGTTTCTCCAAGCGTTTCACCGAAACGTCGACAACTTTATCGCTAAAACCTTCGTGAAAAAATCAATATCCACTTTCTTTATAGTCGTTTGCGTAACAAAAGACATTTTTTCAACGGACCAAGCTTCGCATTGTGTCGTCGATGATCTTCACATCGCTTCGTAAGCTTTGTCATTCGAGTTACGTGAATGAGTCAGAAGATATTCAAACAATTTACTTTAAAAATTGTCAACCGATCAATTATGATTTTCTGAAATATTTTAACATGTTGAATGCCATAAGGGTCACCGGCTCCTCCCCAATTTACACACGTCTGAATAATTAAAACAAAAATAATATTGCTATGGTACAAATAACGTGAAATGGCAAACAGAAAGCTTGAAATTTGAAAATTAATTATTACTATTCTGAGTAATTCACTATGGCGTTCAACGTGTTAAAAATAAATTACAATTTCATACAAGAAATTACTGCTCAGCAAAGTGAAAAAGAATGTCAATTACACAGCGGCTTATAAATTGCTTGACACTACCCATTAATCATCATCAATACCTCAGTTAATTATATTAAATGCAAAAGAAATATCACCTACTACTCAGAGAAAAAATTAATGGTTTTGACTCCAAAACACCTTCATTCCTAATGTTAAGCGGAAGGAGAAACTAACATTTCATAAATAACTTCCAACGTTAGTCATTTACGGCACAACTAAAAAAGAAAAAAAAGAAAGGGGAAGCAAACGTTAGATGAAAAAAGAAAATCAATGCTATCGAACTTACGTGAATCACGTGCTGCTCGGCAGTTATATAGAAAGGAACGACTCTAATCGGCCGTGCCCTTCTCCCTGATCGAAATTGGTAGAGTAGCTGGTGTTGTCAGAGGTACCAGTGCCGTGGCCGTTTCTACTGTATCCGATTCCGATCGATCGTGATTCGCGAGGGGACGTACTACGAACTGCGACAACAACATCGCGATGAACGACGACGGTGCAATCGGTGCATCGCCGGTATGCATTTGCAGTAACGCTGCTCCTCGCCATCCTCGACGCCGACACCGATTACCCACGACTTTCGAGTTGACTGCAATTTCACCAAACAGAGTTTCAGTTTTTTTTTTTTACAAGAACACGGCTCGGTTTTACAACACCCTATCCTCAAACTAACATACGAATAACCGTTTACACATAGGGTACAAAAAGGTGTTTTAAAGAGTTGATAAATGGAAAATGTTAATTATAATGAACATATGCTGATGGATCGTTCTGTGTTCACAATGCTCTACATTTCTATATAGGCTTTGTAATAAAGAATTACCATACAGTGTATTGTACGTCCATCGAGAATATTAATTATTCGTCCTTGTGATCAATAATTGCGCAGTTTAAAGGGTATTGTTTTACTATTCTAATCAACAGATGACAGACATGCAAAGTTCGCAGTTTCATGATACAAGCTGCCTGCCAATCATATCTGAAAATGGAAGAAGAATATGTAGACAACAGCTGTTGTAAATACGTAATTAAGAGTATGGTAATATATGCCTTCTCTTCTAACATATGTTCACTAGAATTTCGTGATAGGAACAGGTATCTTGATATTAGCCACTCGTTTAGGATCAAGAGAAGCTTCAGGATATGATCATTATCTTCGATAACTAAAAAGAAACGTACAAGCAGATGGCAGAAACGATAAAGGAATTATGTAAGAAATTACTCACACTTGTTCGCAGCAAGATCAATCCTGTCCCTGGTCAACGAACGCGATTCGATGACGAAACGAGACGAGGACCAGGGATTTTTCACTTCGATTCGTCCTGTTAATCCTCCCTGCTTGCTCCATCCATATGGATTACGTTCGAAAGGAAGTCACGCGTAGAAACGTGGCCCCTCATCTGTGAACGTAACAGCAATAGAAACTCCGTTAGAGCTAACAAAGTTATTGCAAGAACTGAAGGCTAATATCAAGCTAAAATTAATTTCGTGTCAATCTCGAGACAATGAATCGAGATAAGGAAGAAACAGAAGAAAAATTGAAATTTCCTATAGGATTACCATAGAAGATTATCAAAGAACTCCTATCGAACGATGAACATCACAGACGATTAAATATCGTTTTATCGAGATTGCGTCACCGGGTTATTTTTATTTTTCAAATAACGCAAAGGACCAAATAACCGACTGATTTTTCGAACAACGAATACACGGTTGGGCAAAAATATTAATAGCACGAAATACACGCTTCCTTCGTCCCTGAAACATGATTCAGTCCGTTGAATTGCCCGGAAACGTGGTCACCTAATTGTCTTGATTCCATGGATTATATTCATAGCAGTATTTTGTCGATAACTCTCTGAAGTGTTTTTCCAATAAATGCAAGCGAGACAAGGGGACGAAAATCTGTCAAAAAAAAAAAAAAAAATTCAAAAAACAGAGAGAGACTGAAGCTTCGCAAATGAATCGCGATTACATTAACCCATTAACTGCCAAATTTTTATTTAACATTTTATTTAATATAATCCTATTGCAAGTGATAAAAAACAAATATATATATTCAAATCCCCATTTGGAGATCGTGGTAGCAAATGGGTTAATGTTTTAATAACAACGAAATTATTCGCTTCGTTTTAAAATCCTTCGAGTATTCGCGTTCTTTATTCCTGTTTGAAACAGAAAAGAGCCGAGCGTTCTTTGTCCGTCAGCGGGAAAAATATTCTATACGCCTGTCGGCCAATTTCACGCGGCGCGAGCTTATAAAATTTCAGCCGGCAAGGATTTGCAAACTGAGATATTACACGCGCGGTCCGTTGAATTTTTCATAAGCGTATCCTTTTCACGAACGTACACCCTCCTTCGTGTAAATAATAAATACGCCAGCAACGAAAGTGGACATAAATAGTTGTAATTCGAATATAAATAACGGCTGAAATTGAAGCTTCATCTTTTTCTGTTAAAAAAATTCTGTGAGATTATATTGTTTACTAAGCTACTGGCAAATTTTATTCGTCTATTATTATTCTAACATAGTACAAAAGCAAACAGAAATTTATGTACTGTTTTAAAAATTAAAGTTGAAAGTTTAAGCTCTCAATTGTACACGACTTCCTGCGGCGAACGCGACACGATATCCTTAACGAAGTGGATCTACCGCGCGTATCCGACCGGATGTAGACACTTGCCAGCGTATAAATAATAAATACGAAATGTGTACGGGAGGTCTCTGGCTAGACGTGCAGGGTCTTCACCCCACGACACCGAGGGTTGTCGAGGTAAGGAACGATCGACCAGACAAAATGACGCCCTCGTCACACTCATCGCACTTCATATTTGACGCTGTAATTACTGGAATTACCTGGAAAGGACCTTTACTTTTTCAACAGACACCCTACTCGAATCCTTTATTCAATGGACGTTATACTATTTCCAGATTTTTAACACATCTCATCATTCCTGTAAAACAAAAGATAACTGTAACTATAGATCCAAATTGAGTGTCACATCTTCAAATTGAACTAAAAAGCAAAGTATTTGATTTTTGTATGGTTACTTTATTTTAATACAAAGTCTATTTTATGACATTAATTATGAAAAACAATAT